GGGAATGGTAGTCAGGCATTGTGCTCTCCGTGTTCTGGTCACCTGAGCCTGCTGAGTGTAAGAGGAAAGGGTCACACTGGGGACCCTAAGCAGGCTCACCTCACAGAAGAGTGTGTCATAGACATTCCAGATGGTCTCCAGTGTCAAGTCCGTAAGTCCTGTCTCGTTGGCCACCATATCCAGAAATTGCTATGACAAATGGAGCAGGGGGTCAATCCTGCCCTGGGATAAAGGACAGTGTGATGACCTCCACCTCAGCCCCACTCACTGCGTTCTGAATACTCTCATTCTGATACTCTGGTGTCTGCCGGGTCTCGTTCTGCAGCTGCTCGTAACGGGGACATGGGCCCAGTGGGAACTTCAGCAGCTGCAGACCAAAAGGGAGAAGCAGAGGCAGAGAGGGAATCAGTGGTCAGCAGGCCCATGGCCAGAGCTGCCCCTCACGGCCTGCAGTGAAGGGCTGGCCAGTCTTACCCTGTCCTCAGCAATGGGCACAGTGTGGACGGGAATAGGCTGCCAAGAGATGTTTGGATTGAAACGCTGCATCCCATTGGGAGGGAAAAGTCCAGCCAGGTTGGCCTCAGCACTCATGAGAGTACGGTCAAAGTCGGTGCTTCGCACATAAACCTGCAGAGATGACAACATGAGTCTCTTCTTGTGGGGGTGGGGTGAGGAGCTTTGGCTCCTCAGTGGGGTCCTAAGGGGAGAACCTGTTCTTGATGGTTACTGAACAGACTGTAATCCCACCATGCATCTGGCCCTTGCACCCTCTCTGGCCTTCCCCATTCTTCTCCCAGCAAAGGTCCAAACACTCAGCTGGGGGCTAGCTATCACTACTCTGAGAATGGCTCCTATGGGAATGGCTCTAGTTCAGATGCCCCTCCCAATCCGAAGCGCTTAGTCAGTAAGGCTCTCTGGTCTGTCTGTCTAGTTTTATCCTGTCTCCCTATTTAGGCCAGGATCCTTGAGGATGGAAACTATCTCCATTCACACCCCCTTTTATAAACTGCCTTGGAGGCCAGGGAGAGGAAATAAGACAAGGAACAGATAATTGCTTGTGGGAAAAGGAGAAAGCTGTGGGGGTAGGCAAGATCAAGACAGAGCTGGCCCTCAAGGGAACAATAACATCTAGGGACTTGAGAGAGCTGTGGCTGAGAGTGGTAACCAAAGGAACAGCTATCCTCTTCCTTGGAGGGGGGAGGGGGCGGCGGGGGAGCTCAAGGAGCCAAAAAACTTGCCAATCTTCCATTCTAAGTTCCACAAAGACAGAGATCATATGTGTGTAGTATACCATTATGTGCAAAATGCTAGCCCATTGTAGGTACTCAATATGTGTCTTGAATGGAAAACCTGAGTTATTTCACAGAGCCAGACACTACTCTGCCAGATCCTTCCTTCAGTCTGAACTTGGATGCTTGATAAATGTTGCCTCTTCCCACCCAAGCAGGGGCAACTCAGTCTCTAGGGCAGTGGTTCTCAACCTTCCTAATGCCACGACCCTTTAATACAGTTCCTCATGTTGTGGTGACCCCCAACCATAAAATTATTTTCTTTGCTACTTCATCACTGTAATTTTGCTACTGTTATGAATCGTAATGTAAATACCTGATATGCAGGATGTATTTAGGCAACCCTTGTGAAAGGGTCGTTCGACCCCCAAAGGGGTCGCAACCCACAGGTTGAGAACCACTGCTCTAGGGTTTTGTTCTAGACAGCCCTTGGATGTCTTGTCCTTAGTTGTAACCAAAAATGCATGGGGGGGCGGGGGGGCAGTGCCCAGCTTCACCCTTAGGCTCCCTGAGGACAGAGGGTGAGGACAGCAGATCCCATTCTCCTTGCATCTTGAGCTCCCAGCCTTACCTCTTGTGGGTGGTAAGAAGTGTTGAGAAAGCCACGGTAGCGCTGCCGCAGGGCCTGGCCCAGCTCCCAGTGCTGTAGCATCCCCTCCTATGGGCAAACCCAAGGATTAGGGATGGCTCACAAATCCCACAGGGTTTAGGCACTTTTGCTTTTCAGTTTACCCCTGGCTGGAAGTAGGAGTGTGTTAATGGGATCCCAGAAGTCATTTATTAAGTAGCCAGTTGTGTGTGGCATTGTCTTTGGCAAGAAATCTAGTCAAAGTCAGCACCCACAATGGACATGGCAGTTTGTTGGGCCCTAGTTCTGTAGCCTGCTCTAGAGGTCACTCATTGTGCAGCTCATACTGAGGAAGGACTGGCTTCTGACCCACCTTAGTGAGCTGACCAAACCCTTGAGGCCATTCATCTTCCTGATAGGGGTCCTTGGGAAATGTCTTCACTGGTGTCCGGTCTCCATGTCGGTACAGCTGACAAAAGAAAATGGTTTGCCTAGGGGTCACAAGGGTCTCCCTGATGGCGACCCAGAGCCCACCTCTGCCCCATGATGGAGAGGGAAGCCTCAATCCCTCTGGGAAGCCTTAACTCTACCCATTGCAAAAGACCCCAATTCAAAAGTCAGTAACTTCTTCCAGCTTCCAGAGAGTCTAACATGGCTAAGCAATGACCACGGAGGTCATAGGCAAAGCCAAAGGTACAGATGGGAAAGGAAAAGAGAAATAAAAGCAAGGCAGAGGGTGGGAGGACTGGGAAGATCACCAAAGATTTCTGTAGGGGGATGGGTCTCTTACCCATTTACATCCTTCTCAGGGCAGATTCACCCGACCTATCCCCTGATATAGAACTCCTTGCAGCTCACCCACCCCCACCCCCCGCGGCTCCACATCACCTCGAACCCGGCCCCCAACCCTGAGCCCCCAAAACCGCAGGCCAGCTGTCTCCTAATCCAGCTCCTCCTCCAGCCCCCCACACCCCCACCACAAACCCCGCCCCTCCCTCCACCAGCGAGCCCGTGCCCTTCGGGCTCTGGCGACCCTTAGGCGACCCCGTCTCTCATTACCAAGGTAACGAAGCGCAGAGTCCGGGCCTGGATGGGAGGCATCACCATCAGGTTCACGCCAAGAAGGAGCTGGAGAAGAGCCGCTCGGCTCCAGCCAAACAGTCCGCCCGCCATCACCGTTATCATCTAAGCAGCAGAGAGGGTGGAACTCGCTGGGCGGCACCTGCAGCAGCCGCCCGGACGCGCCCTGGAGGACACTCGCCGGAAGTGCACTCGCCACCATCTTGCTAAAGGAGGGCTCGGGAGGAAATGCTTGGAGGAGACTCGCGACCCGGCCGGGGCAGAGGAGCGTGGGCATGCAGCGCGACCTCGCGCGGCAGAAAGGGCCTGAAGACCTTGTCTTGGTAAAGAGAGCCCTGAGCTCGGGTTTGCCTCGGCCGGCGGAGAAGCCGGGCCCGAGTGGCGCTGGCCCTGGGCGGGCCAGTGGCCGGGAGAGCGAGGGCCCCGGGGCCCGGGGCCTGCCCGGCCTGAGCGCAGAGCCACAGCGGACGCGGAATTGGGACGAGGGATGGTATAGGGCGCCCCCTCCACACCCCTGCCTTCGGATGAAATTTGAGCCGTGGTCCGGTTCTGTTCCCCGGAAGAGGTCTTGTTTGAGGTGCAGGGCACAGCGTGTAAACAGCCCTTTGGACTCCTGTGCCCTTGAAGTTGGTTCCCAGTCTGTCCTCCTGCTCATGCCCTGAGCAAAGCTCAGGAGCCTTCTCACTTCACCTTCCAGTCACTTCCCTGCCCTCCCGCCATTCCTAGTTTTAGTTCATTAAAATCAGAATGTCATGCCTCTTCCCGAAGGAGTTGGATCGCACGGTGTTCAGGCTTGGCAAAACCAAAGCAGTGAATCCCCAAGGGAGGAACTTCAGACCAGGGGGAAGATGTATAGAGGGAGCGGGGAGGAACTTACCAAGTGGGAGTAGATGGGGTTGTGGCAGAATCCGAGGCCCTCTTGGCATTGGCCTTTAGGGTCCCAGTGCATCCAGTTTGGTCTCAAGGCTTTGTGACTCCGAGTTGGGAGTGATTCACAGGTCTAGGAGGTCAGATCATAGGCCCTTGGGATGCTTTGATCTAAACTGCTGACTAGAAGCAAAGCACTTCAGAGCATCACAAAAATAAAACATGATCATGGGAGAAAGCAGGGTCATGATCTTGCCCTAGGGCTCCAGATTAAATGATTTACTAGTATATATACCTCAGGATCTAAATTTTGCTTCTGGAGTTGTGGAGTAGTGAGTAGAATATGAGAGCTGAAGTCCTGGTAGCCAAGTAGTTCTTATTTAGTCATAAGTTATGAATCAGATGAAATTTTAGTCCCCTCATCAAAAAAATGTTCACACACACAAACACAAGGGGAATTTTGAAAATAAGCCCAAGTGGTTCACAAAGACCACCGAGAGGCTTCATACAGCTGCATCTTTGAATTCCTGATTTAATCGAGTTCTCTTTACAGATAAGGAAACAAATGTGGAGAGGAAGTGATTGGCCACGGTCACACAGTTTAGGAGAATGAATTAAAACGCAAGTTTTCAGATCCCCAGTTAAGTAGTCTTTATAATGAGATGTTTTTTTTACAGGCTATTCAAACTACACTGCTAAACTGTATTCGGTGGTCCCAAATACCTTCAATAAAGAGATTTCTAATAAAGAAGAATGGGCATGGCTAACTGCTAAAATACTGGGTATTAGTGAGAGTTTTTGAGTATTTTAATATGCCTCTTCTTTCCTTGCAAACTAGCCAAACCATTTTTATTTCAGAATGTAAATTTTCGCAAGTAGAATGAAAATCCCTCAAACTCATCTTTTGCTTGTCATTCCCACTTGCTCAAGTATGTCTATATCCTTTGTGCCTGCAAGTATCCCATGTTAGAAGGGATTGATGGAGCAGATATTCCGGTTTTTGTAGTGAGAAATCCAGGAAGAAATCCAGGAAGAGTGAGGGTCACACCACAAGTACATGGTAGAGCCCATAGCTGAGCCCTGGATTTTCTGGAATATTTGTACCAGATGATTCTGTGGTCCCCATACCTTGGTTCCTAACTACAGATGCGCGCGCGCACACACACACACACACACACAATGTAGATAGGTAGATACAAAGGCCACCCCAAACCAAATAAGTCAGAATCTCTGAAAGTGAGGCCAGGTTTGGGAATCACTTGGTCTACCCTGTGTTGGCAGAAGTGAACCTAAATCCAGGTGAGTTAACCACTTTTCCCATCTGGGGAGGTAGTTTGTGTAATGGAGTGAGGAAGTTTTTTGTGTTTGAATTTGATCTTTGAATCAGCCATACTTATATCCAAATTTGATATTTACCCCCTTGCTAGTAACTATCTCCTAGGTCAGTGGTTGGCAAACTCATTAGTCAACAGAGCCAAATATCAACAGTACAGCGATTGAAATTTCTTTTGAGAGCCAAATTTTTGAAACTTAAACTATATAGGTAGGTACATTGTTATTAACTTAATTAGGGTACTCCTAAGGCTTAGGAAGAGCCACACTCAAGGGGCCAAAGAACTGCATGTGGCTCTCGAGCCCCAGTTTGCCGACCACGGTCCTAGGCTATATATGAGGATAAATAATACATGTAGTGGGGCCTACATGTCTTCTATATCATCTCTGAACTCATTGGTCTGGGAAGCAGGAATTCTTGGGTTCTATCTTGTGATTGGGAGGTTGGGTAGAAGTCATGTAGGAACCTGCAAGATGCTCCCACACTTTTCACCTTTCCAGAATGATGAAGGAGAGAGCAAGAAGCAGTTGCCCTAGTCTGTTTCTCTAAACCATACCTTGTGGCCTGCTTTATGGGAGTTTGAGTGCTTTCAGGGGACTAATTCAGTAGTACATAGGACTGGTGAGTGCTCCTATTTTTGCTTCAAGGTTCCCCTTGCTCCAATGAGAAGACTTGGGAGGTCCTGGGAGTCAGAAATGGGACTTGGAAGATCACTGCAGGTGTTCCTAGGCGTGGTGCCTCCTCTAGGAGCTAAGGAAAGCTAGGAAAGGCCCCATGGGACTGGGAGGTTTTGTAACTGACATCTGTGGGCTGGTGGGACATGTGATTCCAGCTGCTGATAACCTGACTACTTGCCCTGGCCTGGGGGACAAGTCCAGTGGTTGATCTCTGGAAACTCTTTGGAGGTATTGACTACAGGTTTGGGTCTTCTCATTTTTCTCCCCAACCCCCTCTAGGTGGGGGCTCCCAAGCCCCTGTAGCCTAAGGGGTAGCTCTTTGTATAGCACTGGTAATGTTCCCGCCTCCTCTACTTGAGACAAGGCTGAGGCTGACATGGCATGGGGGAGATGACGCCCTGAACTGCTTGTTCAGCAACTGGCTCTAGCCTGGGTCAGAAGGCTCCAGGTGGGGCCTGTGTGTGGTCCTGGGCTCTGGGGAGTCTAGAGAGTTGAGGATCAGGAGTGGACGAGAGAAAATAAGTCTTCAGGCCTCAGAGCAGCGTTCCATTCCGAGTTCCTTGCGAGCAGGTGTTTCAGTGACATCTCTGACTATGCTCCTCTGCTGGAGCTACTGGCAATGGGGAAAGGCGGAGAAAGGAGCTGGATGGATGATGTGGGTGCTGGGACAGAACGGTTCCAGTTTCCCAGGAGCCTGAGTCCTAGTTTCTACTTTCCCAGGACAGCTGGGGCCTTGTGAAAATCAGGGAGGGAACACACACCAGAGGAATGGAGAGCCTTGTGCTCATGACTCAGAGATGCCCAGACCAGGGTGGGGGCCTTGCGAGGGGATGACCTTGTGATGAAAGGGAACAAGAGCAAAAGCTGGAGGCAGAACTTTGAGATGTGGGTGTCAGAGGGGCTTTTCTGAGATGTGAAAATAAGCACATGGGCAGATTTTGCAACACCACCCAGCCCGCGTCATCTCAAGCTTGTGCTCCCCACCCCCCACCTATTCCCCCTGCCCCACCCTGTGTGCTTCCTCCCATCTTTCACCAAGCTCCTGTTCTATTTCTGTTTTCCCTGTCCTCCAAGCCTGCTCTCCCCCCTGCCCCCATCCACTCTTTCCCTGTTCACTGTCCTCTCTCCTGGTGCCCTGTTCATCTGTTTCTGTCCCTCTGGCTGCCTGCCCTGGCCCCCTGTCCTATGCTTTAATGGGGGGCCCATGGGAACTGGAGTTCACAGCAAAACAGGAAGAGCCTGTGAGCAGGAAGCTGGGAGTGGGGCAGGGGGTGATCAGCCAGCAGTAACCTCAACTCCTCCCCTGCCACATCTGGACTGAAGCATCCCCAGAGCTCTCTGCCTCTTCTACTGCCGTCCTCTCCCCCTCCCTCCCAGCTTCTTCCATCTCGACATTTCACTGATCCAGCAGACCTGAAAGGCAACAAGACTCTCCTGGACTCTGAGGCAGGAGAAAGAAAGAGTACAGAGACTGGAGTGAGGACATCTGGATTTTGATCTCAGCTTGGCCACTGTGTGTGGTCTTCGAGAAGCCTCTCCCGTGAGCTTAGTATTCTTTGTAAAATGGAGCTTGTGTTATTTACCCTCCTTCCTGGGGCTGCTCTAAGGACCAAAAGAGAGAGTGCAGGGTTTGTGTATGGAAACAAGCACTGGGAGGTTAACAATGTACAGATGCACGGCGTTGGGAAGTCCCATAGCTGAAAGATTTGAAATTTAATGATAACTGCTGCCATCTCTTGAACACACTATGGGCTACACATTGTGCTATGACATATTGTTTAGTTCTCATGACAACCTTAGGTGGCAAAAACCATTATTATTATCCCGATTTTAAAGATAGGGAAATAGAGGGTCAGAGATATTAAGTAACTTGCTTAATCAAGATCACACAGCTAATAAAAGGCAAGGCCAGAATTTGAACCCAAATTCTGAGCCTAAGGCCAAAAAACTAAATATGCTGAAATGAAATTGACTAGAGTTAACAAGTATAAAATAGAAGGGGGTCATATATTTTTTTCTTGCTTGCTTATTCATTTAATGAACAGGAATACAGTACCTACTCTGATGCCTAAACTAGGCCAGGCCCTGATCCATGGGCTACAAGGGAGATAAGATCAATTAAACATGGTGTCTACATTCAGGAATGGATCTCATATTCCAGGCAACAGGGCAGGAAGGCTCAATAGCTGCTGGGCAGAGCCTGTCAGCATTTCATATGGAACTGTTCCCCAGATGAGGGAACTTGCATACCTTCCCAGATCCATTCTGGGCTAGCACCTGGGTCACCTGCCATCTCTCTACCCCCACCCTGGCACCGGCCATTGCTCCCCTCTCTCTTCTGGCCTCTCCCCTGCTGGTAGCCCTCACAGGGCCCCCCATTCAGAGACTTACAGGAAGGCCCAGCACCTGCCTCTCCACCCATGGAGTTCTACCAGCTTGGCTGAGGCTGGGCCGGTGCAGAGAGTTTCTTGGCCCCTTCCCAGAGGCAGGGGAGGAGGAGGGAGGCTGGGAAAGCAGGCTGGGGCTCCGTGTTGCAATTCCAGGCTGTGCTGGGACCTTTGCTCCACGAAATGTCTATGGAGGGGAGGGGACACCAACTCTGGAGGCTGCCGGGATTGGGGTGGGGGTGCCTGGGAGGCAGTCCTGTAAGAGCAGCCTGGGTGAGCAGAGGAAGGGGAGAACTGGGCTGGTCTGCAGGGAAATGCGACTGTTGTGGTTGGGGGTAGGAGAGCAGGGATGGCGCTGGGCTGAGGGGGTGGCTAGTTGGGGAGGAGTCAGCGTGGTGGGGAAGCTGGCTGCCCGGTGGGCGGGGGTGCGGAGGCCAAGGCTCCAGTCGGTCAGTTGGTTGGCGCCAGCTCTGACTCCGGGCTCTGCCTGGCTAGAAGGAGCAGTGGCCTGACCCCTTAGCAGTCCCTCCCCTCAGGTTTTCCCCATATTACTTCCCTGGGGCTCCGGGCCCCTGTCTAGCTCAGCTCCGGCTTCAGCCACCGCAGAGGCCTCTGGACAGAGCTTGCACCGTCCTCCTCTCTCAGCAAGGGGGCTCCAGAGACTGCCCCAGCCAGGAAGTCTGACGGCCCAGGCATTCGGTGGGTCGGCTCCTCAGCACTTGCCTGGGGCCCGGTGTGTGTTTGGTGCGTGGGGGTGAGTGGGGGTCCTATGGATCTTAGAAAGGGGTCTCTTTGGGGAAAAGTGAAGGATGATGATAGTGATGGAAGCTTGGGCTGGATCCCATTTAGTCCCAGAATAACTCCTGAGGGGCGGTGAGGGAGGAGGTCCTGTATGTGAATTGGGGCAACTCTTGGAGGCAACAGGTTTGTGCTGGGATCCCGGGAAGCGGCAGGAGTGAGGTTATTTAGCAAGCAGCATGTTTCACTGGGTGGAGCCTCCATCCCATGTCCTGGTCCTGCCCAACTTTGGCTGCCCCAGTGCTGGAGTGAGGGGAAGGGGCTTTAATAGAACCAGAGCAGATGTGCCCAAATATTCCCTGATGGCCAGGAGGTGGGCCCTGGGGAGAAAAAGTGGCACGGTGGCTGAGAGCTCAGACTTTGGAGTCAGAGAGATCAGAGGTGGAGTCTTTGCTGCCTAACTGTGTGGCCAAAGGCAATTTACTTCATCTCTTTGAAACTCCATTTTCTCATCTATAAAATGGGCTAAAGAATAGTCCTGACCTCAGAGGGACACAGTGAGCAAGGCATGTAAAGCCTTAGCACAGGCTGATGCAGATCAAGTAAATGTTAGCTAATCTGCTGTACTGATAGAGAAGGAGCCCGGTTCTGGAAGAGTATAACCTGAGTTGTTCCTGCAGGACAGTCCCTTGGTAATGTCCAGGGCTCCAGAAAGAGAAAGAGATGTCCTTGTGGCTGGAGGCCCCTGTGCCTAATGTTTCTCCTGGTAAGCTGCTTTACTCCAGCCCTCTCCCCTCAGTCAGGGTCTCATCACTACCTGCCTTCTGCCTTTCCCCAGAGAGCAGTCTAGAGCCATCCTTGCCTCCTTCTGCCCAGACTACCGTCATCCTGGTTCTGGTGCCTGGCCCTTGCAGGCACCTGCCGATCCTTCTGTCTGGACTTGCTGCTGGGGAGAGGGCATGTACAGTGCTCATCCAGTTTGACTTTTAATTAAGAGTTCTGTCTGATCTCTGAAATAGATGCATGCCGGCCCCCAAGGGGACAAGGGTTAACATCCTCATGTAAAGTATCGAGGTGCAGGGAGTTGCAAGACTAGCCCTGGAGCCCACACAAACGCCAGGGTCTGAAGCCCGAGCTGATGTTTTGCTGCCCTCTATGGGTGGAGATAAGTTTGCATTTTCCCAGCCAGGATGCAGTGGAAGTGGAGGGGGAGGACCTGAGACTTCCCCCCTCATCCTCCCCTTGTTCCTCTTTCCTGACTCAGACTCTGCAGTGGAGCTGTGGGAACCAGATGCACAAGATGCAAACAGCCGGGCGCTGAGAGGCAGCAACTGCATCCTCAGGGAGGAAGCCAGCATGCCCCAATCAGCCGGGGGCACTTCGGGGGCAGGGTTGGAGGTGGCAGTTCCCACAGTCCCAGGAATGGAAGTCCTTCCAGAGTCTACAGGTGAGGAGCTGCTGGATTTGGAGGATGTAGGGGCTCCCTGGATCTGGAAGGGGCATCTTGGGGCTCTGTACCATATAAAATCATGTTTAAGTACCAAAGCTTTAGTGTCGACTAGACCTGAGTGATCTGTGAGTTTTGTCTCTACCTCAGGCCTTTCTGAGCCTCAGTTTCCTTATCCATCAAATGGAAATAATAACAGTAGCTATCTCTTTTGGATGTCGTCAGGATCAGTGCATATAAAGGGCTGAGACAGTACCTGGGACATAATACATAGCACTTGGCACATGAGAGGTACTTTCTTAGAATAGAGAGACTAGATAGACTGCATGTTAAAAGGGGCATGAAGGTCACTGAGTGCTCAGGGCAGTGGCCAGCTGGGCACCAAGCTTGTTTCTTAGAGAAGAACATTAAGGCACTTCCCTGTATCCAGAGCTCCGTCCACAAAAGCGGAAAAAGGGGCCAGCCCCCAAAATGCTGGGGAATGAGCTGTGCAGTGTGTGTGGGGACAAGGCCTCTGGCTTCCACTACAACGTGCTGAGCTGTGAGGGCTGCAAGGGATTCTTCCGCCGCAGTGTCATCAAAGGGGCGCGCTACATCTGCCACAGCGGGGGCCACTGCCCCATGGACACCTATATGCGTCGCAAGTGCCAGGAGTGTCGCCTTCGCAAATGCCGCCAAGCTGGCATGCGGGAGGAGTGTGAGTACCTGGGGACAGGAATGGGGAAGGGGCTGATGGGGAAGAGGGGCATGTGGGTGCCAGGGTGTGAGGGCAGACAGGCAGCTGAGCCTACAGGACCTTCCTATATGGTCCCTAAATATGGATTAAAATTTCTTCCTTGCTTTTACCCTGTGATCTCTGCTTTTCTGGAGCCTTCAACTACCCCTCTGGCCCTTCCTTGCTTCTCATCTCCCCCTCCTCTTCCCTCCTCTCATCTGGCCGGTCCTTAGGTGTCCTGTCAGAAGAACAGATCCGACTGAAGAAACTGAAGCGGCAAGAGGAGGAACAGGCTCAGGCCACATCCGTGCCCCCAAGAGCATCCTCACCTCCCCAAGTCCTGCCCCAACTCAGCCCAGAGCAACTGGGTATGATTGAGAAGCTAGTGGCTGCCCAGCAACAGTGTAACAGACGCTCCTTTTCTGACCAGCTTCGAGTCACGGTACCTGAGGGACCTGGGGAGAGGTGGCTAGACCCAGAGTGCCAGCTGGCTTCTCGATGTCTGACTCAGAGCGGTTTGTTTTTCTCCTCCTTGCCCTTCTGGGTAGCCTTGGCCCATGGCACCAGATCCCCAGAGCTGGGAGGCCCGTCAGCAGCGCTTTGCCCACTTCACTGAGCTGGCCATCGTCTCTGTGCAGGAGATCGTTGATTTTGCCAAGCAGCTGCCCGGCTTCTTGCAGCTCAGCCGGGAGGACCAGATCGCCTTGCTGAAGACCTCCACTATTGAGGTGGCTGGCAGGGCTGAGGGGTGCAGGGAGAGCCCGAGCGGGACTGTCCGTGGGAAGGGCCTCTAGACAGCCAGCTGGGAAGCCAGAGCCACCACTAGGAAGTAGGGACCTTCAATTGAAGGTGCCCCATTGCCAGGACCAGCCTGCCGAGTCCCTGTTTGAGGTCTGCTACTTGTGTGCAGGTGATGCTTCTGGAGACATCTCGGAGGTACAACCCTGAGAGTGAGAGTATCACCTTCCTCAAGGATTTCAGTTATAACCGGGAAGACTTTGCTAAAGCAGGTGAGACCTGAGATAACAAAGGGACTGGTTTGGATGGACAGAAACTTTTTGTCCTGGAGCCCATAGTGACTCCAGAGTCACAGGCCCAACGTTTGGGTGTCTCTAAAGGGAAGGCTTCACCTGTTTTTCCAAGACAGAAAGTTGGAATGCTTATAGGTCTCTTTCAACTGTCTCAAATGGACTCCTGTCCTCTGTTGCCTTAGGCCAGCGTTTCTCGAACTGTGTTCCCAGGAACCCGAGGGAGGGGCTCCACAGAACTGTCACTTTAGAGAAGAAACAAGAAGGCACAGGAATGTCCTTCATTCTTACTTTAAATGGAGCCAAACAAGAAGCTCCATGTAAATCTGCATTATATATCATGCTTCTACATAATGTGCTTCAAGAAAAGATTTCATAACGAGGGAAAGGCTTGAAAACAAATATACCGAGCCCTTTAGTAGTCAATAATGAGCAAGTCTTTCTCAGATGTGCTCTTTAAGGATCACGTGGACCTGCTTCCCCCTACAATTGTTCTTTCTGAAGAGCCATGAAACTGGAGCTGATACATAGCAAACATGTCCAAATGATGCAGCGTTAAGATCAGAGTGGATGCTTCTGTCCCCATCCTGTACTTGAAGTGTTTTCTGCAAGAATTTGTTCCCATTGCTGCTCTCTATCTGATACTTGCTTGCAGGCTAAGCCGTGTTGGTTTCCTCACACTCAATTGCTGGTAATGTTTGTGTTATGGGAGCAGGGTTAGCAAAGGATGAAAGGCTAAGGGTGTTTTGGAGGGACTGGAGCTAAGGCTGAATAGGTGACCTAATAGTCTAACAGTGGAGTGAGTGAGTTTGAAATATGGCTGATGCTGTCTGGTACTCAGCTCATGTGCCTCTTATCCCACCCCAGGCTACCCAGTGACATGCCCAGGAAGGCCTCTCTTAACTATAGGGCAAGGCAGGGCTGTGTTAGCACCTTTTGCCTACTGTGTGCTGCCAGAATGTCTGGGAAATTTCATGACTTTTTCCATCTTTAAAACCCAGCCCTACCCCCTTTCTCTAGCCAACCACCTTTCCCCAAGTGGTTATTTTCCCAGTCCTTCTTAACCATGGCCTTCTCCCTCGTAGCATCCTCCTTTCTGAACCCTTTCCAGTTCTTATGTGTGTGTTTCTTCAGCACTTTCAGGCTTATGTCATCTGAATCTGTACCTATTTATAGATTCATTTATATAAGCAGTTTTGATATTATCTTTGCCTTTTGTTTGTCATTTTGTCAGTGAGGTCTCAGGGAGAGGGAACAGGGGCTCTTTCCTGTCCGGTCTCCTTCCCTCTCTACATGACTGATGATGTGGACTGATGCCATTGGAGGCATTCATTCAGCGAGCAGTAGCAGACAGACCCTTTCAGGGTGCATAACCCAACTCTAAAACCTACTTGCCCTCTCTGTACAAACAGACTGTTTAGCACAATTCAAGGCTCACTCAATACCTCAGCAACAAATACTTTATAAAATGGGGCTTGTCCATTAAATGTATCAACACACATTGATAAACATCAGGGTGAAAATACAGGAAGTGACTAATCAAGAAACCTCGAATGGAAAAGTTAGCAGATGGTTGCTAAAAGAAATCTGAGAAAGCCTGGAGGAGGGTGTGGGGTGGGAGACTTTGACAGTGTGTATGGGAGAAGTGTTTTTTAGATGTCACGACTTTAGGTCATGGTTTGTTGAACTTCAGTCTCATCAAGAAGATTGGTTCTATATTTATAAATTTATTATTTATGTATATAGTAGTTACCATATGTGCCACACATTATTCTAAGGACCAATTATGGTAGGTGCTATTATCTCCATTTTACAGATGGGAAAACCAAGGCTCAGCCTAGTAAATGGTAGAGCCAGGACTCAAACCCAGGCAGTCTGGCACCACAGTCTGTATCCTCAACCACATTGCTAAGTTCCCCCAAGATAAGAAACATGAAATGTATCTCTAGTATTCAAATAAGTAAGGCCAATTGCCAGTGAGGTTTCTTTATAAACAGAAATGAGTTGCTTCTATATCTAGTAATGGGGCCCTCAATAATTTTAATACGAATAACAGAATTATTATTATCATTCAATTCACACATCCTATGTTCCAGGCACAGTGTTAAGTGCTGTGCATGCTTTAGCGTTTAACCATCACAGTAGTCTTATAAATTCAGATATGATTCCCATCTCACAGATGGGGCTTAGAGAGGTTAATAAACTTGCCCAAGGTTACAGAGCAGAGCCCTGGATACTTCTTATTGAGTTCCTAGAAGTTCTCTAAGTTGCGGAGTTGGAGAAGAGAAGGAAGTTTCTGCCACTCATGCCACACACTCAGCCTCCCTCCTTCTTCCCCAGGACTGCAAGTGGAGTTCATCAACCCCATCTTTGAGTTTTCCAGAGCCATGAATGAGTTGCAGCTCAATGATGCCGAGTTTGCCTTGCTCATTGCCATCAGCATCTTTTCTGCAGGTGTGGAGGATGGGCAAGAGGGAAAATGAGCAAGAGACTTGAAAATGAGCAAGCCCTAGGAGGGCTGCAGGCCCCATAGGGCAGGCATTGTAAGGGTGGAGGCCTTTGCTGTTACTTTGGGATGGGAGTGGTTGGGTGGGACATGTTCCTATTTTTGGTTGTGATTTGGGGTATAGAACTGACCCTGGCCAGACTTGCTCCTCAACTCTGTTTGTGAATATAGACCGGCCCAACGTGCAGGATCAGCTCCAGGTAGAGAGGCTGCAACACACATATGTGGAGGCCCTGCATGCCTATGTCTCCATCCACCACCCCCATGTGAGTCTCCCCTAGGTGCCCTTTCTCCTCATTCCCTGACACACCTACTTTCCCTTGAAGAATCCCTCTCTGATTATACCTCTCCCACAGTTCCCCTACCCTTGCCCTCTTCCCTGGGGTGAGACAAAGTCTGAACTTGTCCTTCTCCTTCCCCAGGACCCACTCATGTTCCCACGGATGCTAATGAAGCTGGTGAGCCTCCGGACACTGAGCAGTGTCCACTCAGAGCAAGTGTTTGCGCTGCGTCTGCAGGACAAAAAGCTTCCCCCGCTGCTCTCTGAGATCTGGGATGTGCACGAATGACTGTCCTCGGCTGGCTGAGGCCTGGCTGGCTGAGGTCCCACTGGTGGCCTCCTAGAGGTGGAACAGACTGAGAAGGGCAAACATTCCTGGGCGCTGTGCAAAAGAGATCCGCACGTGGCATTAAAGGAGAGTAACGGGTTGGGAGTTCTGTGACTGCTGGGCACCGAGGGTCCTGCCAAAGCTGTGCTCCATTTGAACACTGTACTGGCCTGATCAAAAGGATGAACCTGGGGGCCACTTTGCACAAGGTTCTCCAGGCCCTGCCTCCACCACTTCCTGTTTTCCCCACAGGGCCCCTAGAGAAATTCTCACTGTCACGCTGCGGCTTGACCATAAATGCCTCCGGGCTGCCTCCCTGATAGTCGGCCTGGTACTGTTTGTACAAGACAAAAATGAATACGGAATGAGAGAAACAATGTCTGGATTGGGGTGGAGGAGCGGCAACAGAGGAGGGAAGCCTGCAGCGTCTTTTAGGATCGCCTCCAGAATTAGAGGGAGACAAGTCCCCAGTGTCAGCCTCCTTTCACTTGCCTCATTGCGCCCCAAGGGTAAATGAAACGCTGAGACCACTTCCCCTGTCGTGATGGGAGCGGGAGGGGATCCTGCCTTCTGTAGGGGAGGGGGTGCTGGATTTTCAGAACTAGCGCCTCAGCTAGGCACCTGTGTTCTTGTGGGCGCGGGCACATCAATCCCCCCTCCTCCAGGCTCCCACATTACGGGACAGGAAGAAAAGTCCCCTGAGGCCGGGGGCGGGGGGCGGGGGGCTGCTGCCCAGCCTGGGGTTGCGCCTCTCCGGAGGACTGGACTCCATTTCCCAGCGGGCACCGCGGCACCGCTCACGCCCCCTTCCCTTGGCGCTCACCCGCTGTCGGCGGCACGGCGCCGCGCCTTCCGGCCTCCGTCCCCCCCGCCGCCGCTGAAGTGGTAGGCTCCACCGCCGCGCTGCCGCTTTCCAGCCGCGGCGGCTGGGCACGTCCAAGCCGAGTGCGGGGAGGGAAAGGGGAGGGCGGCGGAGGAGACGGTCAGAAGTGTCAGGAGCAGTTCATCCTGAGAAGTGGCTTCCCGCTCGACCCGCATTTCGTCGGGGTGCGCTCTGCTACCATGCCGAATTAAAATCTCTGCGCAGTTGACACAAAAGGTATTTCTGTGGGTTCCCCCTTGGCAGTCAGTGGCGCTAGGCTGGCCCTGTGCTCCCCATCGCGTTTCCACTCCCACTCGCATAGGTGTGTGCGTAGCCGCCTTCTCCCGAGGTCGGCTCCGCCCTTCTGCGCTCGGCTAGGTGCCGCCCTGTCCCCCGCGGGGGTGAATGGTAGGGCCCCCGCCCCCCTCGTCCCCCTCGCCCCCCTCGCCTCCCCTCCCTCACGCGGAACTGGCGCCGGGGAGCGACTGACGCTCTGCGGCCGGGGGTCGTCCAGCCGGGCCGGCCGGTCCCCCGAAGCTCGGGAGGTAGGAGGTCGGCGCCACCGGGGGCCCTGGAAGGGTATCTGGGACGGGGCTCCCAGGGGGAACCGGCTCCGAGAGGAGCAGGGGTCTAGGGGGCGAGGTCTCGGGCGGCCCTTCAAGGAACGTCAGGGCGCGTGGGGTCTCGAGAGCGAGTAAGGGGTCCGCACCGAAAGGGCCGGGCTTGACGTGGGGGCGCTTCGAGCCGCCGAGGGGGTGCGGGCTGCTGGCCTGGGCGCAGCCTGCGGCTCTGGGCTCGATTCTTCCCGGACTGGCGGGTGGCCCTGGTTCCGGCGGAGGCGGGGAGAGCTGTCCAGCAGGTGAGGGGGCGGACAGAGCTGTCCAGCCCGAGGCCGGCCCGGGATTGGCACCTGGCGCGCGCGTGTGTGCGTGTGCGTGTGTGTGTGTGTGCGCGCGCGCGCGTGCGTGTGCTGTGCGCCTTATTTTTTGTTAGGGTTTGAAGAACCACATTCGATTCTTTACCATTTTTTTTTAATTTGGCGTTTTCAAAATTGGCTTATTAGAGAGTGGAGACACCGTGTGATCTTGCTTCCCTCCCCAGCCTCGTGCATCCTAAATTCTTCCTCCTTTCTCTGCTCTCCTCCTCCCCAACCCGCCGATTGCCTGCCTCATTGCTCTGTGCTCCCCCATGCTGGACCAGTCTGTGTTGATGTGCTTGCAAGGTCACTTCCTGGGGAGGAGGAGGAGGTGAGAGGGCCTCTTGTGCTCACGTCAGCAAAGATGTCATATCGCTCTCCGGTTCCTGTGGTTTTACTATGACATTTTACCCCCGAAGAGGGACGAATCCAAAGGGTTGGTTAACGAGGCCATTTGCGGAAAAGACCTCAATAACCTAAAGAAAGGTCTGTGGGTCCCAAATCTGCGTCTGGATGGAGTGGAAGGTGATGTAGGCCTTCAGCAGATAGGTATGCATTCTGAGCTTGATGCCTTTGGAATATAGGACCTAGGAACCAGGGGCTCCCTGTTAGTAAATGTGGTTGAGGCAGGAGGCAGAGTCTGAGCTTGGGTGGACATGAAGATAGAGAGTGGGTTATAGGTGGTGGTAGAGGATTTGTGAGGAGGGGTGAGAATGGGAAGAAAAGCCTTTGTTATCTCTGCAGTCTGAATAACCAAAAGCAGTGGCTGTTGATGAGATAGGAATCTATCCTATTGCTAGGAACTAGAATAGTCACAAGAGTCCTTGTGGGAGGGAGATGAGCACTGTAGAGTGTAATCACTTGCTTTTAAGCAAATGCTTCTCAATGGCAAGGGGCTGGGATCCCACTAAGGCTAGATGCCTAGTATTTTAGTAGAAGATGCTTCAGGTGTGATCTTTGAGATTTGGGCAGGAAAGGGTTCCTAGTTTTTAATGTAAACATAGATTTCAAGGCCTAGCCTTGAGATCTGGTCCTATAAATTCTGTTTTATTTTTTATTTTATTTTTTTAAAATATATTTTTTATTGATTTTTTACAGAGAGGAAGGGAGAGAGACAGAGAGCCAGAAACATCGATGAGAGAGAAACATCGATCAGCTGCCTCCTGCACATCACCCACTGGGGATGTGCCCGCAACCCAGGCACATGCCCCTGACCGGAATCGAACCTGGGACCCTTTAGTCCGCAGGCCGACGCTCTATCCACTGAGCCAAACCGGTTTCGGCAAATTCTGTTTTATTTTTAAGACACAGCAGGTCCTCAAATAATGTCATTTTGCTCAACATTGTTTAGTGATAACGTTGATGAGGTGCCATAGGAACTTAACTCTTGTTTATGTCAATTAGCCTATGGCAAAATTGGTTTCGTTATATACTGTTTCACTTAAAGTTGCAGAACCTGATGGCATTAAGTGAAGATTTACTATACTTTGGCTCTCACCCTAGGCATTATCCACATAATTCTTCTAGAATGAATTATGCTTTTACACATCTCCCATTTCATTTCTGTTCCTCTCCCCTTCTCATTCTGGTTGGGAGGAGCTCAGTTAAGCTGTGTAACAGCGCCCCACCTTCTGCAGTATGCTCATGGCTCCATAGCAGAGGAGAGAACCAGAGGACTTTCTGGGTGGCAGTGATGCCTAGAAATGAGTGTATGGCGTGCTTTGAAACTTGGTTATGGTTGTGTGGAAAGGAGATAGCTCTGTCAAACTCCAGAATTAGGACAAAGTGCAAACCAAAGAAGATAACATAATAATTAGCAGGTGCTGTCAGTGGAAGAGGTGTCTCCAAATTCAAGGAGAGTGAATTGTATGGGCCCTGGCCGATGCTGGAGTAGCAGCTGCTAGCACTGTGAGGTCACCAGGCAGGGGAGGGGCTGTGGCTCTGCTATAAATAGTACTGGGAGTCAGTCACTATGGAGATAAAACTGAATCCTATTACCTGCTGGTCCTCTATTGGGAGCAAGGGAAAGGAGGGAGCAATATTTTGAGGATTTGAGAGATGTTGCAAATAGGTCTCTTTTTAAAAAAAATATTTTTAAAAACAATCTTTTATTTATTTTAAATATATATTTTCATTGATTTCAGAGAGGAGGAGGGGAGAGGGAGCGAGAGGGAGAAACATCAATGATGAGTGAGAATCATTGAACCACTGCCTCCTGCACGCCCCCTACTGGGGATCAAGCCCACAACAGAGCATGTGCCCTTGACCAGAATCAAGCCCAGGACCCTTCAGTCCACAGGCCAACGCTCTATCCACTGAGCCAAAATAGCTAGGGTGGTCTCTTTTATTATTAAGTAAGGGGGAAGGTAGAACTTCTCATTATCTGTATCAAGAGTACCTTAAGCATACAGGAAGTGTGGATGTCTGTGTGTATAGTAGTGCATGCAGCCGCAAAACGGGGACTGGTGTGTGAGTGTGTGTAGTGTAATGAGATTCTCTGTGTGTGTGTAGTGAACAAGCTCCTAGCGTGGCTATGTACAGAGCACAGAGGTGGAATTCTGGAAGCACTGGAAATAATCTTGAGGTAGAGTTAAACATTTTATTACAGAAGTGTATGGAGAATCAGCAGGAAATGAATTATAATTAAGACCCTGTAAGCTTTTCCTGACTTTTGGACTATGGTTTAGAAATTCCTTTGAGCACCTCTCCCTGTCCTTGCAGAAATCCTGTTATTTCTGCATCTAATTCCTAGTCTCTGTAAGATATAGGACAAGGCCTCATCTGTGTGTATTGTATTACTGATTCCAGTCCTTGGACCAAAATAGAGTAGAAAGACTATGATTCAGCACCAAGGGCAGAGCCAAGTAGCAATAGCCACTGGGTCCCTTTTTTGCTTGAAAAGGGAAGAAAACTGATCTAGACAAGGAATTGGAACATAGATATTCTTCATTTGAAATTGCACAGGGTAGAATACCCAGCTTTTGTTATTGTCTGAGAACAATGAACTATACACTATATATACTAGTTTCATATCAAGCTGAATGCAGAATATTGGAACAGAATAAATGGATTTCCATCTAGAGCAGCGGTTCTCAACCTGTCGGTCGCGACCCCTTTGGGGGTCGAACGACCCTTTCACAGGGGTCGCCTAAGACCATCGGGAAAACACATATTGTTTTTGTGATTAATCACTATGCTTTAATTATGTTCAATTTGTAACAATGAAATTGTGGGTCACCACAACATGAGGAACTGTATTAAAGGGTGGAGGCATCAGGAAGGTTGAGAACCACTGATCTAGAGCTTGGAGTACAGAGGAGTGCTGATTAGAGAGTCTGGTTTGATCCTGGATCCCCCCTGGAGCAGTCCTGAAAATGAGTTAATTTTTGTTACCATAATGATTGAGTCCAGATTAGACTAACTGGTTCTGTTTTTCAAAAACAGAGCGCCAGGGGCAAGGCTGAGAATGAACCTGTTTGTAGGGATGGGGAGATGGGCCATTATTTATCCTTCTCATTTGATTCCGTGAGCTCATAAGCCCTAGGCTGAACTCTAGGCTGGGAAAAGTGTCGGGTTCCTTTATCTTTAGTGCTGAGTGGAAGACCTTACCTATGCCTCTGGCTGGGATGAAGCTAGCAGGGCTGAGTTCCTTAGGCACAGCAATGGATCTTACCAGTACTTTCTTCCTATTAGCCTTGGATTTTCAGATAATAACAGAATTCCCCCTGGGAATGCTGACTCCTTGCTTGGTGCCTTGAAGTTTCTCCGAGATGAACTGATGAACTGGAACCATGGTGCAAAAGAAGAAGTTCTGTCCTCGGTTACTTGACTACCTAGTGATTGTAGGCGCCAGGTAACCAAAAAGAGAATAATTTTTGTCTTGTCGTCTGGGATAGCCACAGAATCCTTCCCCTTTTCATTTCCATGTTGGTTTGCATATCTTATTCTTATCCCACGGTTTTACTCTGATGGGAGCGTTGATGCCTTTGGGAAAACAACACAGTCAGGTGGATTGAGAGTAGAGGCCTGGAGGAACAGAGTTGGAGCAAAACTCCTCTTAACCAGCATCTTTCTGTTCTTGAGCAAATGTGCTCTGTGTACCCACTTTCCTTGTTTCCTAAAAAGGGAAAGTACACTGTGCTCCTTCTCTACCTACATACTAGTGTGCTCTGTCATTGGCTGTTATACCTTGAAAAGGTGTGAGTGATCATTTAATTGTTGAAATCTTTCTCTCAGTTCGGGATAGGTGTCTTCATGACAGTGCCGGCCTCGTTTAGCCTACCGGCTAAATGCAGCCAAGGTCTTGCAGTTAGTTACTTGATCCAGTATAGCATTATGAACTTTATTTGTAGACCGTGGTAAACTCTGATAGCGCATCCTATTCCTCAGGCTGCTGAATTGGTCTTTCTGTTCTTCAGGCACCCGAGCAGTGACAGTGTGGCCCAGACTCCTGAATTGCTTCGGCGATACCCATTAGAGGATCACCCTGAGTTTCCCCTGCCCCCAGATGTCGTGTTCTTCTGCCAGCCAGAGGGCTGTCTGAGTGTGCGGCAGCGGCGCATGAGCCTGCGGGATGATATCTCTTTTGTCTTCACCCTCACCGACAAGGACACCGGAGTCACGCGTTATGGCATCTGTGTTAACTTCTACCGCTCCTTCCAGAAGCGAATGCCTAAGGAAAAGGGGGAAGCTGGGGCAGGGTCCCGTGGGAAGGAAGGACCCCGGCCCACCAGCGCCTCAGAAGAGGTTGGCACGGAGAGTTCGGAGAGTGGCTCGTCCCTGCAGCCTCCCAGTGCCGACTCCACCCCCGATGTGAACCAGTCTCCTCGCGGAAAACGCCGGGCCAAGGCGGGAAGCCGGTCCCGCAACAGTACTCTGACTTCCCTCTGTGTGATCAGCCACTACCCCTTCTTCTCCACCTTCCGAGAGTGTCTGTACACCCTCAAACGTCTGGTGGACTGCTGCAGTGAGCGACTGCTGGGCAAGAAACTGGGCATCCCCCGAGGCATACAAAGGTATGGTTTGCCGCTGGTGCTCAGAGAGGTGGAGCATTTTAGAGATGAGGTATAATTGGTCTGTGAGGGGCATAGGAAATTTCTCTAAAGCCTGAAGTCCATCAGACCTTAGTCCTTACTAAGCAAAAGACTGCTGCTGAGTTAGACCTCCTATCATAATTGTGTTTGGATCAATGCTGAGGAATTTGATGTTTCACGATGGGCAGGACAATGAGTCCCACCATGTGTGCATTTTTATACTTGCTCTCACTCTTGTCCCTACCCTGTGGTCCTAGCTGAGCTCAAAGGGTGGGCTTTTCCAGTTGTCATCATTATCCCCTTTATGGTTACAGTGGGTTGCAGTGGGGTATCAGCCCCTGGTGCAAATGTGTCTGTTTCCTGCTCTCTGCCCCCAGGGACACCATGTGGCGCATCTTCACTGGATCGTTGCTGGTGGAAGAGAAGTCAGGTGCCCTTCTGCATGACCTTCGAGAGATTGAGGCCTGGATCTATCGATTGCTGCGCTCCCCAGTGCCCGTCTCCGGGCAGAAGCGAGTAGACATTGAGGTCCTACCCCAGGAGCTCCAGCAAGCTCTGACCTTTGCTCTTCCTGACCCCTCTCGATTCACCCTGGTGGATTTCCCACTGCACCTTCCCTTGGAACTTCTGGGTGTGGATGCCTGCCTTCAGGTGCTAACCTGCATCCTGTTAGAGCACAAGGTGAGAGGGCCAGCTTTCTAGACCTTTGAAATATGGCAGAGGCTAAACCATGAGCTCTTTGAGGACAGGGACTATACCCTTTTCATCTTTTTATCTCCAGGGGGTAATAAGATGCCAGGTATCTACTGAGCAGGTATTCAGTAGATGTGGGTTGAATTGTGCTGGTATCGTGTGGGATGTATTCAGTGGACTTGCCACTCAACTGAATTATCTTTATACTGATCTAATTCTCTGGAAACATCAGTAGTTCTATTCCAAAGAGTGGTCCTGGGATTGGGGGTACAAGAACTAGGAACATAGGGAGTGATTCGAGAGAAGACGACTACAGTGCTTGGATTGGGAGGTGCAAGGTGGGGTACAGAGCAGTGTAATTGTGGCAACTATGCTCCTGGAGCCATAGGCAGGGTGAAACAAACTGTAGTGTTGGAAGTTGTATTCTCATAAACCTTACTTACGCTGTCGAGTGATTCCTATGACTTGTGGCAGGTGGTGCTACAGTCCCGCGACTACAACGCTCTCTCCATGTCTGTGATGGCATTTGTGGCAATGATCTACCCCCTGGAGTATATGTTCCCTGTCATCCCACTGCTGCCCACCTGCATGGGATCGGCAGAGCAGGTGAGTCGCAAGACGTCTTCTATCTTTGTCACCTCTGTGTTCCAGCTCTGCCCAGCTCTAGGGGAGAAGGCTCAATGCCCAGAGAGGTTGTAAATCAGTACTGGTCTGCAGTCCCTTATCACAGCTTATGTGTCTGCAAAATATGACCTGACTTGCGCTGGTCTGGTGGTAAAACTTATGCTGTTTATGTTTTTATTTGTCACAGTTAATGTTAGCAACTAGAGCAGCCGTGGGCAAACTACGGCCCGCGGGCCGGATCCGGCCCGTTTGAAATGAATAAAACTAAAAAAAAAAAAAAAGACCGTACCCTTTTATGTAATGATGTTTACTTTGAATTTATATTAGTTCACACAAACATTCCATCCATGCTTTTGTTCCGGCCCTCCGGTCCAGTTTAAGAACCCATTGTGGCCCTCCAGTCAAAAAGTTTGCCCACCCCTGAACTAGAGGCTACTGACTGCACCAGTGCAGGTATCACTTAACCTGCAGAATAGGGACTGGCGCATCTCTAAAGTCTGAAAAATTCTGAATTTTGAAACTCATCTACCCTCAAGGGTTTTGGAAAAGGGATTGTTTCCTTATCTAGAAAAATCCTGACTTGATAAGTGATCACAATGGTTTTTTTTCTTATCCTCTTTATCTTTTCCACAGCTGCTGTTGGCCCCAACCCCATACATCATCGGGGTCCCTGCCAGCTTCTTCCTCTACAAACCGGACTTCAAAATGCCTGATGATGTATGGCTAGTGGATCTGGACGGCAGTAGGGTGAGGTTCTTGGCTGAGGCCTTGTACGGTCTACAATAGGGTGGTGTCCTTTTTTTTTTAGATTACTCACAGGAAAGTCCTGAGTTGTGGTGATTTCTATTGTGTGACTCATTGAAACAATTTTTTTAAAATCCTGCTTTCATTTTATTGGTTTAATAGACCCTTTTTAGGACTCCAAGAATTACAAGATTTAGTGTTGCCAGAATTAAGTGCTCCCCCGCATCTCAGATCAGTAGGGCATTTGTGGTTGCTGGACAGTTACATATGGTGTGGATCAGCTAATTGTTTTCTTGGGGATATAGTTTCTATTAAGAAACTGTCTTTCAGTACAGACTTTTAAAAATGCATATTAACATTCTGTAGTGTGAATATAAACTTTGGTAGGAAGCCCTTATGTGTTCATTGTAAAAACTAGAAAATACAAATAAGTCTAAAGAAGTAAATAAAAACCATAATCCTATTATCTAAAGATAGTCATCAATAACATTTAGGTCTAATTCCTTTCAGGTGTGTATGTGTATCATACACATGTGCAGATGGATATCTCATGTATGTTGGTATCTAATGTATGTACTCACATACAAATTATATAGTGTATATACAACTTCCTATTCTTTTTGCTTACCCTTATGTGAGAGAAACTCCTAAGGATTTAGCTCTAGGGTCATGCCTTTTATCTTTTTTCTGGTGCAGGTGATTGCCCCCACCAATGCAGAAGTGCTACCTGTGCTGCCAGAACCGGAGTCATTAGAGTTGAAAAAACATTTGAAGCAGGTAAGTGAAGAATGAAGAAAAGGAAGGGGAGTGGTGGCTGCTGCAGGACTGCTGTAAGCAGACAGCTATTGCAGGAGCCAGTTTCCTTGCAGACGTCAAGTAGAGTAGATATTCTTCACCTTGGGTGGGCTTAAGAGGAAGTGTACCCCATTTCTGAAGGGGGTGCAGGGTGAACCTCAAAAAATGGCTTTGCAGATTCCTTCTTATTCATTGTATGGCCTCCCACCCTCTGATACTTACAATGCTATACAAAACAACCCTTCAGTTTCTTGTCATGTCTGCTATTCTTTTTTTTTTTAGTCCCTACTCAAGGATATGTTTTTTATTGATTTTTAGAGAGAGAGTAAGGGAGAAAGAGAGAGAAACATCAGTGTGAGAGAGAAACATTGATTGGTCACCTCTCTTACACACACCGACCAGGGATCGAACCTGCAACCTTGGTCGGTATGACCTTCAACCAGCTGAGCCATCAGGACCGTTGTCTCTCAGTCTTGTAAGGAGGGAGTTAGGACAGAATGGATTTTTAAATGTTTTCTTCTTAAATTGATCCTTAGGTTGTCCCTATAGCATCCTTTTTTAAAAAATTCCTTTCTTTGCCTAATTCCTTAACTGCCTTTCTCATTGATTGAGCTTCTTCTGCTGAACACAGTATGTGAAGGTAAAACCTGACCAAGCCCATTCCTTTGCCTGCTGTGTGTTACGCAGGCCCAGTAGATAGCTCTGTCTTAGGAATACCTGCTCTGACTTGAAGAACTCTCTCTAGTTGATGTCCGAGCTGCATAGCAGTACCTCCAGATCAGTGGTTCTCAACCTTGTGGCCCTTTAAATACAGTTCCTCATGTTGTGACCCAACCATAACATTATTTTCGTTGCTACTTCATAACTGTAATGTTGCTACTGTTACGAATCATAATGTAAATATCTGATATGCAGGATGGTCTTAGGTGACCCCTGTGAAAGGGTTGTTTGACCGCCAAAGGGGTCGCGACCCACAGGTTGAGAACCGCTGCTCTAGATGCTACCTGCTTGGACTTAGATGGCTCATTTGGTATCATCCCCCTCACTTGCCTCATCACTGCTGATGTAATATGACACCTTGTTACTGCAGTCTAGTCTGGTGAGGGTTGCAAGTTCAGAACGATCTTGAGCTATAGTCCTTTGCTGTTTTCATTCTCGATGATTGCTCTAGTATGCCTAATAAGATGGAGAGGTTGCGGATGGAACTGGACTTACCATGTCTGTGGGAGCTAAGATCCTTGGGCTCGTTGATCCTGTATCTGCACCTCTGTGGTCCGTGGCCAGCAGCACTAGCCTCACCTGGGCTTGGTGGAAGTGCAGAATCACTTAAACCTATTGAATCAGAATCTGCATTTTAACAATATGACCAAGTGAAACCTAAGCTCATTAACTGTTAAGGAGCTCTCCGATCTAAACCAGTGGTTTCAAACTGCCCTGTGGAGTCTACTAGGGGTTGATTTAGGTTGCAAGTGCCAAACGCGTGAGGCTCTGGGTTCCTTATGTCCTTCAAAGAAGCTGAAGTTTCAGTTGTTTATATTTCCACATAGATTTCCATTGAAAAAAATAAGCTTTCATGGCTAAAATAAATTTGAAAGCTATTGCCCTGAATTTGATTGCGTTGCCTTGAGACAGGTTGGCTTAAGCTGAAGATCTGTAGAATACACATTATTTTCTAAAGGTTAAAATATTTTCTCTAACAGTTATTTCAAAGACTAGAGGCCCAGTGCACAAGATTTGTGCACTGTGGGGGTGGTCCCTCAGCCCTGCCTCCACTCTCTGGCAGTCTGGGACCCCTCAGGGGACATCCCCCGAGGGGTCCTTAGTGCTGCTGCGGAGGCAGGAGAGGCTCCCACCACCACTGCCACCTTCGCTGCGCTTTTGGCTGAGGGACACTCCCCCTGTGGGAACGCACTGACCACCAGGGGGCAGCTCCTGTGTTGAGCGTCTGCCCCCCTGGTGGTCATTGCGCATCATAACGACCAGTCATTCCTCCGTTTGGTTGATTTGCATATTTTATTATATAGGATGAAGGCTTGTTCCTAGGAGATGAGATTGGCCAGCTGCCCAGGATTCTGCCTTCAATGAGGAATTTCTTGTTGTTCCACAGGCCCTTGCCAGCATGAGCCTCAACACCCAGCCAATCCTCAATCTGGAAAAATTCCATGAGGGCCAGGAGATCCCCCTGCTCTTTGGAAAGCCTACTAGTGACCTGCAGTCCACCCCTTCCACGGAATTCAACCCACTCATCTATGGCAATGATGTGGATTCTGTGGATGTTGCAACCAGGTACCGGCCAAGCAGACTAGACAATCACGACTCCAAAACTGGTCTCTGCTTACACAGCGACCTTGGGGCAGGGTACTCCCCTCAGTAAGAGTTTCTTTGTATATAAAACGTGTAATACTGGGTTATATTTGGAGTTCATCATTCTGTCAGGCATTTTAGGCCTTGAATGAAGAAGAGGATTGATGATTCTTTAAGATACTTACCCCCTTGATGTTGGAAGTCTGTTAACTGATGGCTTTGGGAGGTGATCTGAGACTTTGGATCGTAGGAATCATCACTCTGGAAGGTGTGGGACATGGATATCTTGCCTCCTCTTTTTCCCCAGAGTGGCCATGGTCCGTTTCTTCAACTCCCCCAACGTGCTGCAGGGCTTTCAGATGCACACACGTATCCTGCGTCTCTTCCCTCGGCCCGTGGTAGCTTTTCAAGTTGGCTCCTTCCTAGCCTCACGTCCCCGGCAGACTCCTTTTGCTGAGAAATTGGCCAGGACTCAGGCTGTGGAGTACTTTGGGGAATGGATCCTTAACCCTACCAACTATGCCTTTCAGCGAATTCACAACAGTGAGTCCCCCTACCCTCTGCGCGGCCCCACCTTCAGCCTCTGTCCTTCTGATGGCTCTTCCCTTGGCGTTTTCCCTTTCTTGGGCCTGCCCCTTCCATTCTTATTTTGCTGTAGACTTGCTCCTACCCTTCTTTTATGTTTTGCTAAGGCTATTCTTTTTCCTCTTCGGGTAGACATGTTTGATCCGGCCCTGATTGGTGACAAGCCAAAGTGGTACGCTCATCAGCTGCAACCCATCCACTATCGCGTCTACGATAGCAATTCCCAGCTGGCTGAAGCGCTGAGTGTGCCCCCAGAGCGTGACTCTGACTCTGACCCTACTGATGACAGGTGAGCAGTCCCTTGTGGCAGCAACACAGTGTGTAAGGTCAGGAGGCTCTCGCTGGCCCTTACGTAGCACCATGGAAAAATCTCATACAAGTTAGCAGCATTTGAAGCCTTGGGTTATATTTTGGTTGATTGGTTATGTGTTTTTTAATAGGTTTTTATTGATTTTAGAGAGAAAGGAAGTGAGAGGGAGAGAGAGATAGAAACATCGATAAGAAACGTCTACATGATTGGCTGCCTCCTGCACGCCCGTTGCTGGGGATTGCACCCGAAACCCAGGCATGTGCCCTGACCAGGAATCTAACCAGCAACCTCCTGATGCATGGGATGCTGTTCCACCGCTGAGCCACACCAGCCAGGCTTGATTGTTTTATGTTAGCTTCCTTATTTCATATTGTTCCCTGGCCTTGAGTTAAGGGTGCTCCTCTTTTTATTTCTCCTAATGCCGATGGTTGATTCTTTTCTGTTTTGTTTTTATTGTGTGCTCTTCACTCTGCAGCGGCAGTGATAGTATGGACTATGGTGACTCAAGCTCTTCCTACTCCTCCCTCGGTGACTTTGTTAGTGAGATGATGAAATGTGACATCAATGGCGATACGCCTAGTAAGTGTATTGGAGAACTTGGCCAGCTCTGGGCAGGGTTTGGTTTCTGGGGTGGTGTGGTCTGTACCTGCACCCTTGGGTTTTGGCAGATGTGGATCCTCTGACGCATGCAGCGCTGGGGGATGCCAGTGAGGTGGAGATTGATGAGCTGCCGAGCCAGAAGGAAGCCGGGGAGCCTGGCCCCCACAGAGAGAACGCTCAGGAACACCCCCCACCGCACTCCAGCTCCAGCACCACGGCCAGCAGTGGCCCCAGCACCGTCATCCGCGGAGCCAGTGCTGTAAGTGAGGACTTGGGGTGGAAAAGTGAGGACTGCGGGGTGTGGGCCTCACCTCTCTTAGGAAAGCTGGAGTGAAGCTGTGGATTTAATTTGCTTCTTTCTTCACCATCTTCCTATCTTCCTGACCATCGGCCCTACAACTGAGAGCCTCTAAGATATAGTTTTGATCCCAGAAGGAGATCACTGGGTTTTTGTTCAGGGATTAACTAAGATCCCTCTTGCATAGTTTGTAGGGACAGGGAACAGGGATGTTACAGAGATCTTTTCTCACACATTTCTTAGGGTAGGAATCTGACAGGCCTGGCTTGGTCCTGCCAAACCGAGACTATGGGAAGGCGTCACCGGGCACCAGGTGACTACTTTTCATTTGATATGGACTGTAGGAACCTGCTGACTCAACAGAGATGGATGATAAGGCAGCAGTAGCCATCTCCAAGCCCCTCCCTCCCGTGCCTCCCAGCATCAGCAAATCGGTCGTGGACAGGCGCCAGACAGAAACTGGAGAGGGATCAGTGTGCCGGCGAACCTTCGACAACCCATACTTCGAGCCCCAGTATGGCCTTCCCCCTGAGGAAGATGATGATGACCAGGGGGAAAGTTACACTCCCCGATTCAGCCAACATGGCAGTGGCAATCGGTGAGAACCCGGGGAGTCCTCCTGGGTGGGTGACTGCAGGACCTCCCTGCAGTGGAGCTGGGCGAGGGTTGATTGGCCTGAGAGGTCTCGGTGCCCTCGTGGTCCTGCCGTGTCCAGAGGGTGGTGCTGCGATCTCGGCATTTAGGAATCATGGGAAGGGCATGGCGACTGCAGTGTAGCATCAGGCTCACACACCCAAGGTCACCTTGGGGCTCATAGGTGCCACTGTGCATTCAAGGGCTCAAAAGCTGCTGCGGCCAAACAGCTTGAAACTGGCAAGCGACTCAGACGCAGAGTCAGACTCCCGAGCAAGCTCTCCCACCTCCACCATCTCCAACAACAGCACCGAGAGCTTTGGGGGCATCATGTCTTTTGCCAGTAAGTGCTTTCAGCTCTCTTCTGCCTCTGTCCCATTTTCTTCCCAGTAGGGCTTGGCCACGGCAGAGGCTGGGTTGCATTAGCAAGCCCCAATTCAGGTTGTTTGGTGATACTCAATAGGTATTTTCAGGGGAGGTCAGTAAAGAACAGGGACAGGTTAATCATTGTCTTTCTGCCTGGAGGGTTAAGTCTGTTTCAGATAAGATAGTGGGTCAACTGAAAAATAATCATTAGATTAAGAATTATACACTTGTACACATATTTTGTGGAAATATTCTGGTCTAATATCTTCTCTGTCTGGTGAAGGGCTTTTTCATGAACATGTTTTGAAATCTATATGAGGTTGACTTTCCTGCATAGAGATTATGTCCAGAAATGAGGGGTGGTGTCAGAGAAGGCTTGAAGACAGACTCAGGACCAGAGAAAGCCAACATAGGGGATCATTGTGATTGTGAGTTTTGTCAGAAGCCGGGAAGGGGCAGCACCAACTTCAGACCAGAAGCACGTGAACTGCCGCTTTCGTGCCTAATTGGCAGCTGATAAGAGACTTGGAGGTAGTCGGAGCGAGTTGTTACTGGGTTTTGAGCAGTCTTGGCAGTGGCCCCTTTGTTTGCCCTAAGTTAGCCTTGGCCCTTTCTAATACAGAGCAGTCACTGGGCTGTTGGGAACGGAGGAAGGTGGAGATGATGAACTAGTCCTCGGAGTATGAAGCTTTGATTCTTTATCCCCGTAACTCATTGCTCTCACTCTCCCCACACCTTGATAGGCAGCCTATATCGGAACCACAGTACAAGCTTCAGTCTTTCGAACCTCACACTGCCCACCAAAGGTGCCCGGGAGAAGACCACGCCCTTCCCCAGTCTGAAAGGTAACTGCAGCCCTCCTTTTGCCAAGCCAGGGTTCTCTGAGAACGAGTTCGGGCCCATGAGTGCTTGTCAGGCCCTGTGTATGATGAGCCACTTGATCTGGTGGTTGCCCCTCATCTCGCTTCTCATGGCTTTCACTGCACATCGTGGCTCTTGCTGGTTTTCAGGTGGAAACTGACTTGGTAGCTAAAGAGAAGGCCCTGTTATATCCTTTAGGATAATGGCAACTGTGGGATGGCTGCTGCTCCGGGGGAAACATTGTCAGAGGTCCATCATTAACATGGGGATCACCCAGGGCCACCACTTACCTGCCAGGTTCCTGCTGTGTGAACTCGGGATGAACCCCATCCCAGAGCGATGGCCCAGCAGGGGGTTGTTGTGGAGAGCCTGGCACCGTGAAGTTATTTTATGTTTGGAGCCTGGCAGTGTTTATTGAGTGAAAAAGCCTCTTACTTTGGCTTCACGTCAACTTAGGGCCAGTTCGTGGACCAGGTGGTATTGGCTGGCTTCCAGGGGCAGTTGAGACCTCACTTGGTTTTCATTAGTGATCTCCGCCAGGGTGAGGGCCCTTCGGAATTTACTCCGACTTTTGTCTGTTTCCTCTGGTTATTGTGCTGATCTTTAATCATAGTGGAAAGCACAGTGAGAAGCAGCTCCATGTATTTTTTTTTAACTGACCTCTCTTCCAAGTGATTAAAATGGTCAGAAATCTGAGGAATGCTCTTTGGGCGAGGGATGGGAACATAGGATAGATGGGCAAAAGGACATCAGAGCTGGTGGTGTAGGGAACTCCTGAGTGGACTCAGCCATGCTCGGTAGGTGAGGGATGGAAAGGTGTTTCATTTGATGCAGTTGAAGAGAACAGTGGAGATGCTTTCATTGCATGCGGTGCTTCACTTCATTTGCTGCACTTGTCACCCCCATCCTCACTCCTCCACCCCACTTCCCATGACAGCATCTGCAAGGGGGGTCTCTGCCCTCCGCGGGCCCACAGGCCCTCTGGACCCTGTGCTAGATGTTTCATGACAGCCAGCATGTGCCTGTTTAGTACCCGAAGACTCCTGTGTCATTTACCCTGCCTCTGGCTTTGAGAGGCCGTAGTCTTAGGGATGGTCTTTCCTAGAGCTTGGTTGTCTCCTGGTCACTTGGCTTCCAGCTCTGAGGTGCCTGAGAACCCAGGTTCTATGCACCAAGCTTTGGGAGAATGCTCAGTTTATCCGACTTACAGCTCCATTGAGGGTTAGGGGGTTGTGGTATTGTGGCGCACCTACTAATTGTGTATTTTGTGTCCCAGTATTTGGGCTAAATACTCTAATGGAGATTGTTACTGAAGCCGGCCCCGGGAGTGGTGAAGGTGGGTCTTGCCCGTGAGCTGTGCATGATCGTTTTTTTCCTAGCATCTCCTGTGCCTGCCTGAGGCCATCCTCCTCATGGAGCAAGCAGATCACACGCTGACCTGCCTGCCCTGTCCCCCGTGAGGCCCGTGCTTGCCCCTGGGCGTGCTGCTGGTGCATGCGGAGTGGCCCGAGTTTCCATCCCCACCTCCTCCACATTGCCATGGCTGGTTTCTGCCCCTGCGTGGCGCCCTGGTGCCATCCTCGCCCAGCCCTTCTGGGGAGTGGGTGTGGACCATGGCTACCAGGGCTGTGCCGACACTGGCTCCTGGACTACACTAGTGATGTCTCTCATTCCACCTCCCCGTTGCAGGAAACAGGAGGGCCTTGGTGGACCAGAAGTCATCTGTCATTAAACACAGCCCAACAGTGAAGCGAGAACCCCCGTCACCCCAGGGCCGATCCAGCAATTCTAGGTACTAAATGGCAGAGCGGCTTTAAGATTCTTGGACAGAGGTAGCGATTCCTGTACCAAACTTTATGGATGCTCAAGAGTGGGAGAGAAACTTGCAGCTGGGTGGATGAAGTTATTGTCAGCACCTCCCATTCTGACTCACTCCCCATGCAGCAGTAATAGCTCAAGTGCTGAGAGAGTGAGGCAGCGGTGGTGGGTACTTGGGCAAAGCAGGCTGAATGGGGAGGTGGGGGATGCTGTGGACTGGGACATCTGGACACGTGGCTGGTGGAAGGTGGGATGCTCTGCAAAGGAGCTGATGACCACAGAAGTGGTATGTGGAACCCACAGTGAGAACCAGCAGTTCCTGAAGGAGGTGGTGCACAGCGTGCTGGATGGCCAGGGCGTTGGCTGGCTCAACATGAAGAAGGTGCGACGGCTGCTGGAGAGCGAGCAGCTGAGGGTCTTTGTCCTGAGCAAGCTGAACCGCACGGTGCAGTCCGAGGACGATGCCCGGCAGGATCTCATCCCCGACGTGGTCAGTGTTGGCTGGGAGCTGGAATCAACTGGGAAGAGGATGTGGACACCACAGGCAATTTTGCCAACTCTAGCCCCTGGATTATTGTTGCAGGAGATCAGTCGAAAGGTGTACAAGGGAATGTTAGACCTGCTCAAGTGCACGGTGCTCAGTCTGGAGCAGTCCTATACCCATGCAGGTCTGGGCGGCATGGCCAGCATCTTTGGGCTTCTGGAGATCGCTCAGACCCACTACTACAGCAAAGGTAGGGATTGTGCCAGCGGGGCAGCGTGCCGTCCACAGCTCTCCCGCTTGTCTCCGAAGGAAAGAAACTTGTCCCTTGACAAAATTCCCAGAGCCAAGCTGTTTCCCACCAGGCTCTGGGATTTCATTTTCCAGGGCATGTTTATGTGCAGTGGGTGTCTTCCTATCATGAAAAATAAGATGTTGTTTTTCTTTCCTTGCACTTCTTCCATTCCACGTCCTCCTGTATTCCTGCTTCCCCCAGCACACTTCCCTACCCTGATTGGCACTCACTTTCTCCTATGACCTCTTCCTATATTCAATCTTTTCCTCAGAACCAGACAAGCGTAAGAGAAGTCCAACAGAGAGCGTGAATACACCAGTTGGCAAGGATCCTGGCCTGGCTGGTCGGGGGGACCCAAAGGCTACGGCACAGCTGAGAGTTCCCCAGCTGGGGCCTCGGGCACCAAGTGCTACAGGAAAGGGTCCTAAGGAACTAGATACCAGGAGTTTAAAGGAAGAGAATTTTGTAGCATCTGTTGGTATGTATCGCTGTGTTTGGTGTATTGGAGGGGTTCTGGTGTCTTAGATATTCCTCTCTCCTCTCAATCCATCCAGAATCCTGCCTTTCTCTTTCCCATGCTTTGCTCTCTAGAGAGGGAGGTAGACCTGTGTCCATTTCTAATGGTACTTCTTTACACTTCTCTATCCCTCATGCTTCATTTGCAGCCACCCCCACCCACATCTTCACATGGGAGATTTTCTTAGGGGGCCCAGGGAGGCCTCCTGCAGGGAGTCTGAGCTGTGCCCTGGTCTCTGTGTTTGTTTGCTTCTGGATTTCTTCACATGGTGGAGAGGCCACGTGAGCTCCTGGAAGCTGTAAGGAAGTGTATAGATGCATCTTGAGGCAACAGAATTATGATTATCTGGGTCTCTAAAGCCAGTTTCCCCCCATCCAACCATTACACTGCCCTCAAATTGGCTCCTCCGGGGTGTGTCCGGCAATCCCATTCTCATGGGCTCTGAACCTCAGGGTATAGGTTTCTGAGTCAGCTTTTCTTTAAAACTTTCCTCACTGGAACTTGTTTACATTCCATGTTTCTCAGTTCCCACTAAGGCAGAGCCTAGGGAGCTCTCTGGGTGTCACCTCGGTTTGACTCAAGGTCACGTAGGTTCTAGGTTCTTTTTCCAGTTCTAGGTCCCCGGGCAGTGTGCTTCTAACTGATGCCTCTTTGCCACAACCATTAGCAGTTGCCTTAGGCTTCCATAAATGCTCATGAGGAACCAGTGTCCTTTTCAGGGTGTTACACTTCTCTAGCCAGATCAGCCCTTTCTCCTGCCTGAAGTGATGTTTCCGGAAAAATAATGACCTGCCCTCAACCAGGAATGTGACTTTGGGCAAATCACTCTCCCTCTCGGGGTCTCTGTCTCCTCATCTGGGAAACAAGGGGACTGGACCAAGTGGACTCTTAACGTTCTTCCAGGAAAACAATCGCTCTGATCGCTGCTCTCTTCTTTACCCCTGCTAAGAGGCTATGCCTGACATTCAATAGTCTCTGTTACGCTACTGGGTTCCCAGGTGTCTGGCTAAGAGTGGGTCTCTTACCAGGACAGGCTCTGATTCTGAGGGTGAGTTGGGTTTTTTGGTAGCAACAAGGAGGGATGCCCACTGCTTGCATGAGTGACCTCGGTCCAGTCCAGTGGATGAAACAGATCGGTGCTCGTGCTTCTGAAATCCCGTTGGCCGCTCGAGGTGGTCATCTGTCTCATCTGAAATCTTTAAAATGTGCCTTTGCCCAGCTCATTGGGCAGAGAGAGTGTGCTGTGGTGGAAGTTTAACCTCATCCCAAGTCACATGATCTTGAGGGACTGCTCGGCCTCTTTAGGGTCCGTTTCCTCTGGCCAAGACCAAGGAGCTCCGGAAGAGGCCCTCCAGGCTCTAAGGCTCTGCAGGCTCTTTACTGCCACGTTGAGGTTAGGGTTAGACATTTGGAGTCCTGATTTCACGAGTTTAATCCCCACAAATGAAGATCTCTTTTTATCTCTTGGTTTGTGATCTTATGCCTGAAACTGAACCAACTTGGGTGGGTGGGTTTCCATTTCGTCTGCCTGACCAGCCTCTGACTCTGTCTGTCTTTCTCTCCTGCTTACATTGCATCTGGGGTAGAATTGTGGAACAAGCACCAGGAAGTGAAAAAGCAAAAAGCTATGGAAAAACAGAGTAAGGAACAAACGCCCCCTTCCCGTTCCCAAGTCTCCCATACCTGCCAACTCCCCAGGCCCATTGGGGCAGGCTCCCTTTGTCAGCCCCACCCCAAATTTGCTCTAGGGGGGTATTTGGAGGGACAGCAGGCAGGTGGTATGTGGCTCAGGTGTGTGGCTCGTAGGGTGCGTCCCCCGCCCCTCCCCTCAGCACTCAGACTGAAATTGAGGCGTCTACTGAGTAAAGCCCCTTAGAACGTGGTTCTCTATTGCTTCCGAGTCGTCGGTGGGGAGAACGCTTGCCTATTTCATGCCCCTCATTGGCTGATACCTCCCTCACCCATTAGAAGGCCTGTGGGCACAGTTGGCAGAGATGGTTGCTGTCCCTCCGTGTGAGTCTGTAGCTTCCCAGCTCTCTCTGGTGGCTTGCCTAGGCACGCTTTCTTGCTTTCCGTCATTCTGTCCTTCTGCCATATCATTGAGGGTGGGTGGGGAAAGGGGAGCGGATTTTATCTAACATGTGGGAGTTGTAGGGTGGGGGTGAGCAGTGTCCATGGAAACAGCTGGGGTTTCTTGATCTCATTGGGCCCATCCTTTTCTCGCCCCTTTGGCCACGTTGGTTTGGGAAGCACTGAGTGACCTGGAGGCCCCGGTGGAGCTGCACCTGGGTGCAGTGGCGTGTGGTTTAGACGTTTGTTTGTGGAGCTTTTCTGTTTTTGGGTGATGTGTTCAGAATGGTCTCAGGTTGAGAAGATGGCTGCAGAACCCCTTGAGACCAAGTCTTGTTTTTCCTACTTGGGTCGTAAGGCATCTGGAGACTATTCTGTCAGTGGGGCCCGAGGGGGCAGTCCCTGGAAAGGTGATGGGGTCCAGGCCGCGCTGCTGCCCCACTCCCTTCCCGGCCTGCCCCTAGCCTTTGTGTACTGAGTAACAGACGTCTTCCCCTACTCAGGGCCTGAAGTACTCAAACCTGCCTTTGACCTTGGCGAGACGGAAGAGAAAAAGTCCCAGATCAGCGCAGATAGTGGTGTGAGCCTAACATCTGGTTCCCAGGTGTGTGACCCTTATTGATAATGATGTGCTATCTCAAAATACTTCTTTAAGTTAAAACAAAAACCAAAGACAAGAAACAACATAAATAGTCAATAATAGGGGAATGATGACATAAGTATAATATATCCATGTAATGTAATATTAGTATACATTAAATATATTTTAATTCTCACCCAAGGATATGTTTATTGACTTTAGAGAGAGAGAGGAAGAGGGAGGGAGGGAGGGAGGAAGTGAGGAAGGGAGGAAGGGAGGGAGAGAGGGAGGGAGAGAGAGAGAGAGAGAGAGAGAGAGAGAGAGAGAGAGAAACATCGATGTGAGAGAGAAACATTGATCAGCTGCCTCCCATACGCATCCTGACCAGGAATTGAACCCACAACCCTTTGGTGCATGGGATGACACTCCAACCAACCGAACTACCCAGCCAGAGCTCTGTTAACTGTATTTTAAAAAATTTAGTGACATGGGAAAATGTTGACAAAGGTATATACTGTATGATTCCCATTTTGCTTTTAAAATGTATATAGAAAAGACGAAAAGGAAGTAAACTAAAGACTTGACAGTGATTAATGTAAGGGGTCAGTTCATGGCTTATTTTTGTTTCCTTATTCTTTCATGTATTTTCTGTAGTGAGCATGTACTACTTTAGTGTTTATTATTGTTCTTATTATGTAAGTCATATATATTTTATATTAAGAAAAAGGATAGTAGAAGGGTGGGGATGGGGAGAAGGAAGAAGATACAGTATTTCTTAGGGAAACTGAGAGTAGGTTGGACACCTCCCCTCGTGTGTCTGAGGCCCTGTGTCTTCTTTCAGAGGACGGACCCAGACTCTGTCATCGGTGTGAGCCCAGCCGTCATGATCCGAAGCTCCAGTCAGGATTCTGAAGTTAGCACCGTGGTAGGGGAACACCACACTGGCATCTTGGTGGGTGGGGGTGGGCTCCTGTGGAGGCTGCGGTTAGTCTCAGGTCAGCTTGGTTCTCATGGTGGAGATGCCCACCTGTCATAGGTCTGTACACGGGATCAGGCCCGGAGGTTTCACCTAGGGCTTCTCCTCCTCGTGTCAAGAAGGTACTTGCAGAGGCACTGGCTCACCTTTGAAAGGGGGGACTTCTTGATGGCAGCACAGAGCTCTCAGTTTGGCATTTCTGGGACCCTCCCCGGGGAATATCCCTCACTACCTTGTTTCCTTTCCAGGTGAGTAATAGTTCTGGGGAGACCCTTGGAGCCGACAGTGACTTGAGCAGCAATGCAGGCGATGGACCAGGTGGCGAGGGAAGCACCCGCTTGACAAGCTCTCGGGGCACTTTGTCCGATAGTGAAATTGAGACCAACTCTGCCACCAGCGCCATCTTTGTAAGCTTTGTTTACTAACAAAAGGAGACTGTTTTTACGTGGGGGGAGGGGAGTTGTAGAAAAGAATGAAAAGTTAGGAGGCAGTCAGAAGTAAAAGAGGAAGTAAGGAATGGATAGCCTCATCTATTTGACTTTAAAGAAAATGTTTCTTAAGGCTTTAACAGTCATTCGACTCCATGATCTGGGGCTTTTAGAACCCTCTCCTGCATCATTGATGAGTTAGATAAGGGCCTGGAGTCCTATCTAGCAATAAACCCTATGTTTAAAAAAGTGATACCTTTGTGGCAACGTCTGTTATAGCTCTCATCTAGTATCAGTTGGCTTATTTCATGGACTAGTCTAGTTTTATTCTGGTCACTGCTCTATTTACATAGCACCTTAAAATGACATTTCTTTTAGTATATTCCTAACAGTTACGTGAATTTTTTTTCATTAATAACACCTATTAAGTGATTTACTCAATGCCAAATTCTGTACTGGAAAAAAAACCAGATAAATAAGGCATGATGTTCACTCTCAAGAAATTTGCAATTCAGTGTATTGCTGTGACTAATCTCTCCTGACAGGTAAGTGGGGGGGAAAGCCTTAGGAAAAGAAGAACTTGCCCTAATCACACAATAAGCCATGATCAGTTGGAATTAAATTATTTTAGTCCTTGTCTTTAGACACACTGCTTTTCTCTTTTAAAAATATGTTTTTATTGATTTTAGAGAGAGAGAGACATCGATGATCGATCGATCAGCTGCCTCTTGCCTACCCCCTGCTGGGGATTAAGCCCACAATCTGGGCATGTGCCCTGACCAGGAATCAAACCAGTGACCTCCTTGTGCATGGGTCGACACTCCACCACTGAGCCACACCGGCCAGGCTAGATACACTGCTTTTCAGTATGTACTGCTACTTCAGGCAGCGGATGTTAGGCACTCTGATACACTGACCACTTTCTCTACAAGTGCTCATAGGGCCTTATCTTTGGTCTGTGAGGAGCATGGGAATGATCATTCCCACCCCATGGCTCCTGCATAAGTGTTTCTAATAGAGCAAGTGACATCCCAGAGTGAACATAAGGAATAGGACCTAGAGTCAGCAGAGCCATTCAGGTTGGTGGACCTTAACTCTCCCTGAGTCTAAACAGACCATTTTAAGAAGAGTGTATAAATCTGTCTAATGCACCTCCATTCTGGAGGTTAAGCTGGGTGTTATGGAGGGCAGTCTTGCAAGAAGCCATTCAGCTGTGTGCTGTCTTTCCTGGCACCTTCCTGGGACAAATTCTTCTTGTTCTGTGCTGGTTGGCAAGGATTCTTCATACAGTTGAATAGCTGAGAGCAGTTACCTAAATTTCTTGGCTCAAAAATGGCTGTCTTAGCAGGAAATAAATTATAGTAAGTTGGTATGGTCCATTGAACAAGGAATTGCGCTGTGAACCAGGAGGCTGGCATTTAGACACACTAATTAGATTTGCCTAATAACTGTGATCAGTTGCATCTCTGCTTATGCTGTTGTATGCTTTGTGAAATGGGCATGAAACCTACCTCTTACCCAGTTGAAAGTCTTTTTTGAATGAATATAAAGTCTAATATTGCAGAAGTGGCAGATAAAAGTTAGTGGTATATCTAAGGGGCAGATATTTCTGAGATGGTAGAAAAGAGAAAATTAACATTTATCGAATAGCAACCATGTGCCAGGCACTGTTAAGTGCTTTCTATGTATTTTCTGATTTAATTCCTATAATAGTTCCATGAGGTAAGTATTATGACCTTCCTTTTTTCAGGTGGAAAATGAGACTCAGAGAAGCTAAATTTCATGCCTAAGCTCACACAGCCAGTAAGAGGCAGAGCTGTGAACCTTGCTCAGGCTGACTTCAAACCAAGTGTTCTTTCTACTGCATCATGCTGCTATAGAGAATCTGCATGTTTTTGTTTCTGTGTTTAGGGCAGAGTCTTCTAGAGACTTAAGAGTAAAGATAAGTCAGAGTGAAAACTTGATTGCATGTTTAGGGGGCAGTAACAGAAAGCAGCATTATCAGATCAACTTCTGGTCCAATCCCGAGTAGCAGAAGGAGGGCTCTGGGAGGATGTGTTGTCGATGGTGGTGATTGGTGGGTGAGTCTCTAAATGAGCTGCTTGGTTTCCTTTGCCCCTATTCATTAGTGCCTTAGGTGGCTGACCTGTTACCTCTTCTCTGCAGGGTAAAGCCCACAGCTTGAAGCCGAGCGTAAGGGAGAAGCTGGCGGGCAGCCCGGTTCGCTCTTATGAAGATGTAAGCCAGCGAGTCTATCTCTACGAGGGACTCATAGGTGAGAAACAGACCGGAAGGTCGCTGGCACTGGAAGGAAGCTGGACTCAGCCGGGGGGAGAGGGTGGCACTGAACAAGTAGCTGCTTGGCTCTTTGCTGATCTCAATGCTGATGTTAGAGGGCATTTTTACGTCTGAAGCAGGTGACTTACTGGGTCTGGAAGAAGCGGTGGGTGAAACTTTCTAGAAGAGATTGGATCTTGGTATTAATCAATAGCCTCTGTGTTTCTGTCTTCCTTTCTTTCCTTTCTTGCTACCATGGTCCTTCCTGCTTGCAAACTGGCAGGAAGGGACAAAGGATCGATGTGGGACCAGTTAGAGGATGCTGCTATGGAGACCTTTTCTATGAGTAACCACCTTTCTTTGTGTGCTGTGTTCATCCCTCCTGCTTGGGGGATTGGGCCTCACTTGGAGGCAGTTGGGCTCTAGATCTGGGGTGGAGAGGCTCAGGTTTCCTTTGCTTTGGAATTTGTAATGACTCCCTTTTACTGGAGTTTACTCCATTTTGGTTGCCAACTATATTCTTTAAATGTTGTATAAGCCCCTAAAGACCTCTATCCTACACAGGTAAAGAGCGTTCTACGTTATGGGACCAAATGCAGTTCTGGGAAGATGCGTTCTTAGATGCTGTGATGTTGGAGAGAGAAGGGATGGGTATGGACCAGGGTCCCCAGGAGATGATAGACAGGTATGAGGCTTAGGAAATCCTTGGGAAAATTCAGCCTTTTCGTAGTTGGTTCTGTGGTCTCCCACCTGAGGGCTGACTTGTCCCTGGTCTCCTGCTTAGGTACCTGTCACTGGGAGAGCATGACCGGAAACGCCTCGAGGATGATGAAGATCGTTTGCTGGCCACGCTTTTGCACAACCTGATCTCCTATATGCTGCTGATGAAGGTAGCGTCGATTTTGCTTATGCCTAGCTGCTGCTGACGGGCAAGGCTCATGCCCATCATGTGAATTCTGGGGCAGTTGGGGAGCTGACAGAACATCTCACTAGGGCTCTCTTTCTGATCGAAAGTCTCAGGCCTCTCTGCAGCTCACACGTGCTTCATTTATCTGAAGCTGGCAGGCTGTTGTGCTAAGAAAGATTGCAAAGGTGATTGATGATTCCAACCCATTTGTTTCCTTTGAATTTTAAATGGGGTTCCTTTGCTAAATAGTTTTAGGATTCCAGTAGAGCTTCCCACAGAATACAATGAATTAAAAAAATGTTTTAAGTAGTTGGTTCTAAAAAGTTTAAAAAGGATTCTCAGGATTCACTTTTTAGCACTAGCCCTTTATCATAGAAATTTCCATAGATATAAAAAGGGTTACTTATTTAAAAAGTAATGGTAGGTTCTAGTTTGACATGGTTGTACTTGGTGTTTATAGCTGTGGGGAAAGTATGTTACCAAATAGAAGAGTTAAGGGACTTGGTGAGTAGAAGAGAGTTGTTTTGACAATGAGTCCCTGGGTTTCTCCTCCCCCTGTTCTCCCAGCCTCTCTAAATGTGCAGGGATTGGTTGATCAAATATAGAGAATGCCCTCCAGGTAGGCCCTCTTAGTTTGTTTCATTTTCTGTTGTAAGTCTCACTCTACTCTGTTGAACTGGAAGGGTTCCAGTTACCTCTGGTTGGGAAAGGGTGCTGACCCTAAGGCAGTGGTCGGCAAACCTCGGCTCGCGAGCCACATGTGGCTCTTTGGCCCCTTGAGTGTGGCTCTTCCACAAAATACCACGTGCGGGCGCGCATGTACAGTGCGATTGAAACTTCGTGGCCCATGCGCAGAAGTTGGTTTTCGGCCTGGGCGAGTCTATTTTGAAGAAGTAAGTCGGGGGGAGGGGGGGGGGGAGTGTCGGTCAGTTGGGCTATGGGAGACACGGCGCAGGCGGGCCATGGAATACGCAGCGCGGGGGAGGTGCGCGCGATTCATGCAGAGTTGAGTGAGCCAGTCAGTCAGCAGTCTCATGTGCAGTGGTTAGTGCTAGTCGCATCCACAAATTGCGTGTGGGTGACAAAAGTAAAGTTTATTAAGTTAATTTTAGGGAACGTTGTGGAGTGAAAGAAGATGTAGTGTCGAGGATTGAGAAAGGTATGTTGAAATGGTTTGGACATATAGAGAGGATGAACGAAGAGATAGACGAAACAAGTATACAAGACGAGTGTGGATGGGAGAGTTGGAAGGGGTCGACCTCAGCGAACGTACCTCAATCAGATTGAGGACGTTTTTAGCAAAGGCCAGCTTAGGAGTACCCTAATTAAGTTAATAACAATGTACCTACCTATATAGTTTAAGTTTAAAAAATTTGGCTCTCAAAAGAAATTTCAGTCGTTGTACTGTTGATATTTGGCTCTGTTGATGAATGAGTTTGCTGACCACTGCCCTAAGGTGTCTTGGCTATGAGTGAGTACACAATGTTGCTACTCTAAGTCACTGTTTGTGAATTATATTCTAAGGAACCCCGGGGGGCTTTTAGGGCCCCATCAGGGATGAATGGTACAGTATTGGTTGGGGATAGGAAAGAAGTGTCCCCTTAAGCCCCAGTCACTTAAACCAGAACTGCTCTGAAAGCCACTTCTCTACCGAAGCCACCGAGAGACAGACCAGGGTTTTTCTGGCAGAATACACAGTGGAATGTTTTCTCTCCTATTCAGTGATATGGTCTGTTAGAGATACACTTCTCGCAGACAATAGGAAACTTACCTGTGCATTCCCCCTACCTAAGCTGAGAGCAGAGCAGATCCCTTAGAAAGATCCTCTTTTGGCTTCCCAGGTACAGAAGAATGAAATCCGGAAGAAGGTGAGGCGCCTGATGGGAAAGTCCCATATTGGGCTTGTGTACAGCCAGCAAATCAATGAAGTACTTGATCAGCTGGCCAACCTGGTAAGCATCTCGGGGCTGTTCCTTAGGTTCCCTTCCACGGCACTTGCCAGCCTCCCAGGCTTGGGCCTCGTGGCCTCATGCAGAGGCTTCCCACTGGCCATTTCTAGGCTTGCATATGTTCAAAGTCCCCAATTTTGAAAATAGAATTACTCTACGTGAGGCCTTAGCCTTTCTGTTCTATGATAGGATTCTCTGTACTAAATGGCTAGTGCAGCCATTTAACACGTGGTCCATGGACCCCTGAGGGTCCACCAGGTGAAAACTATTTTCATAAGAATACTAAAATGTTATTTGCCTTTTTTACTGGTTGGCATTTGCACTGATGGTGGGTAAAACCACTGTGCCTTAACACAATGAAGGCAGTGGCACCAAATCATGCCAGTGGCCACTGTGGTCCTCACTTCCATGCATTGCATTCTCAGTTAAAACAAAAGAATGTCCTTGATGAAAGCAGTTAAAATTAATTTTATTGCATCTGATCCTTGATTATATATCTTTGTAATATTCTATGTGACAAAATGAGAAATTTGCATAAAATATTTCTACTGTAAGCCAAAATATGATCGCTTCAAGGAAAAGCAGTTGTGACCATTTGAGTTGCAAGGTGAACTGGCAGCATTGTTCATGGGACATCATTTTACTCGGAAGAATGGCTAACACACTATGGTTATTCAGTGTTGGGTCTGGCACTTAAACGTGAAGCTTCCGGATATTTAAACACTTTTCTAATGTGATTGATGATGATGTTAATAAGTGTGGATATTTGATATTATGAAATATGTCAACATTCAGAAGAACTGCATAACTTGATGAACCAGTATTTTACAAATGACTAATGTGTGATGTTACAAACTCAAGTATAGGTAAAAGAGCAGAGCAGATCCCTTATTAAGATCCTCAAAATGTGAGGCAGAAAAATGGATTTTTAACAAAGTACAGACTGTTCACTGATGTGTTTTCAATTCCACATTGCAACCAAGTTTTTTAGAAATTGCTACTTCTCAAGTTTTGGTACAGTATCAAAGAAGGATGTGCATATTTATCTGGGAAGACTATTAAAATACTCCTCCCCTTTCCAAATATATATCTGTGAGGCCAGGTTTTCTCTGTATGTCTTCACCTAAGCAATATATCACAACAGATTGAATGCAGAAGCAGATATGAGGATCCAGCTATTTTTTTATTAAACCAAACTTTAAAGAGATTTGCAAAAAATTAAAGCAGTGCCATCCTTCTAATTTTTGTTTTGGGAAATATAACTGTTTTACCAAAACAGTTATATTTATATTTACATAGTTATTTATATTACTATGCTTCAACTTATTATTCATAAGCTTTTGGGGGTTGTCAGTGATTTTTAAGGGGTATAGGAGTGCTGAGACCAAAAAATTTGAGAACACTTCCCTGGTGGCCAATGGCCAGCAGATAGCACGCTACTAAGAAAGCTGATATGGATTTAATTGCTGAATGGGGGATTCTTGGCGCTCTGTGAGAGGGATGTATGTATGGACGTCCCTAAAAGATCTCTCTTTCCTCAGAATGGCCGTGATCTCTCTGTCCGGTCCAGTGGTAGCCGGCACATGAAGAAGCAGACATTTGTGGTACATGCAGGGACAGACACAAATGGAGATATCTTTTTTATGGAGGTAGGTGCTGGCTCATGCTAGAGGCCCAAAGGAACATTTGAATGTCCCAAGGAACTCCTAGAACTGATGCCAGGATATTTTACCATTTATCTCATTCACTTTCATGATCCATTTAGCATTAAATTGTCAGGTTCTTATGCAAATAATATAATAGTTATTCCCCATCATTTCTTTCACATATTTATGTTTATATAATAGATGATATAGTCACATTATCCATAAGTCAGAACAACATAAAATGATACATACATTGGGAAGCCTTGCTCTCATTCTTATCTATATCCACCTCCCCCTTCCTCTTATACGTAACCACTTTTATTGGTTCCCTTTGTGTCTTCCAGTTTTTTTACACAAACACAATAAAATCTGAACATAGATTCTTATTTTTCTTCTTTCTTAGCACATTGTATCTATCCCTGATCTGTACCTTTTTTCATTAAACATATCCTGGAGACCTTCAACATCAGTTTTAAAAAAAAGAGCCTTTTCATTCTTTCCATAGCTGCATAGTATTTCACTGTGTGGCTGTACCATAGTTCATTTAACCAGTTGGTATATGTGTACCCTTGGTTTTCTTCCAGATTTTTGCTGTTGCTAATAACCTACTATGAATGATGCTGTGCCTGCTTCATTTCATACATGTGTAGGTTTATCTAAGAATTTCCAGAACCTTTTGATGTACTAGACAACGCTCCAACCAACAGAGCCACACCAGCCAGGGCACCACCTATTTTTTTTTAAACAATGCTTCATTGAATATCCTTGAATATGTATCTCTGCACACTCACATGAGAATTTCTGTAGGATAGCCCTGGCCGGTGGCTCAGTGGATTGGGCATCATCCCATGCACTGAAAGGTTGCTGGTTCAATTCCCGGTCAGGGCACGTGCCTGGGTTGTGGGCTTGATCCCCGATAGGGGGCATATAGGAGGCAGCCGACCCATGTTATGCTCTCACATAGATGTTTCTCTCTTCTTCCTTTCTCACTTAAAATCAAACTATTCTTTAAAAAAGTTTTAAAAAAGATAATTCCTATAAGATCGATTCTTAGTGTGAAATTTCTGAATCAAGGTTATATACATTTAAAATTTTGATAGATTCTGCCAAGTTGCCATTCCTAAAACTATGCCAGTTTGCACCTACACCAGCAGCATAGGCGAGTATGACATATTATTACCATCATCTCCCTAGGCTAGAAATTAGGTGTTCTCCTAAATACTTGCCCCTCTCCTTTACAAGATGTTCTTCAAGGATTATGGAGAATGGAACAGTATTCTCCATTTTCCACATGGAAAAAAACTGAGTTAGACTGGGGTAGAACCCAGGTTTCTGACTCTTACTCAGCTACTTTGGATCTTTTCTTCATAAGGCTTTTAGGAGCCCAGTAAACTCTTAGGTAATCAATTAAATCTGGTAGTCTTGTATGCTCCTTATTTACTCACCTCATGTTTATGGAGCACGCATTATATGGTAGGCACTCTGCTGGACGTGGACTTTCAGCAGTGAATAAGGGAGACGTGGTTTCTGCTGCCCTTGCAGAGTTGACAAGCCCTTTCAGACGTCAGATAATGAAATAAGCAGTGTCATAAAGTGCGATGAGCATTGTGAGAGAAGATGTTCAAGGCAGGTGTTATGGGAATGCATAGCAGAGGGCCTAGGAGTCACGGAGGACCCCTCAGAAATGACCTTTGAGCTTAGATCTGAAGAGCAGGGGTTAATGGTTGGAGTGGGGGAGTGTTCCAGGGACATTTGAGGTCGAATGGAACGGGACTCAGTGGTGTAGAGAGAGGGAAAGGAAGGAGCCTTGCATGACTCCTGCACATCTGGCTTGGGCACTGGGTGGATGGTGATGCCATTACTCATACAGGGGACTTAGAAGGAGGATCTGCCCAGGTGGAGATGTTGAGTGGAGATTGGAGATGAATTTGAGGTGCCCCCTGTGAGACATCCAGATAGAGGGAGGTCAGGAACTCAGGAAGATAGGTCTCATATGGAGAAAGATTTGAGAGCCATCCACATGATCATCATAATAATTATATTGCTTGTATCATAATTGTTGTTAGAGCAGCTAACACTAGGGTGCTTTCTATGTGACTGGCTTTGTTCTAAGCAGTTGATGCAAAGTTATTTAATCTTCACAATAACTCCATGAAGTTATTACTATTACTCTCCTCATCTCACATGGGAGGAAAAGTAGATGCAGTGGCCTGCCGGTTTATTTGCTGAAGGAGGCATAGCTGCAGAAGAGGACAGTGGAACCTCACCCAGGCAGTCTGCGCTTAGCTCTGCTCTTAGCCATTGTGCTGTGATGTCTCCCATAATACCTTTGCCCCAGGGAGACTGTTGAGCAAGAAGAGGATGTGAAGGAAGACTTTGCTTTTTAATTTTTATCATCCTGTATGTATAATTTTTTTGCAATAAGTATTGTCCATGTGTTACTTGTGAATTAATTTTTGTAAAGACTTATGCCGAGCCCTGGCCGGTGTGGCTCAGTTGGTTGAGTGTCGTCCCATGCACCGAAAGATTACAGGTCAGGGCACATGCCCAGGTTATGCGCTTGATCCCCGGTAGAGGGCATGCAGGAGGCAGCCAATGTTTCACTCTCACATCAGTGTTTCTCTCTTTCCCTCTTCCTTCCTCTCTCTCTCTAAAAAAAAAAAAAAATCAATAAAAAGTTTTGGTTTTTTTTAAGATTTATGCACAACTAGGGCCAAGCCAAGATTAGAAATGTGTTGATTCCATTTTTTCTCCTTGATAAGCCTGCCATGATCCCCTGCCTTTGTGCTTATCAACAGAGGTACTCCTCAGGTTGTAAGGTGGAGGCATGAGCTGTCCGCTGAGTACTTTAAATCCAGAACATGTAAGCGGTAATGAACATTGATGGGAGTGAGAAGTGAGCCTGGCTGGCATAACTCAGTGGTTGAGTGTCGACCTATGAACCAGGAGGTCATGGTTCAATTCCCGGTCAGGGCACATGCCCAGGTTGCAGACTCGATCCCCAGTCGGGGGTGCAAGAGGCAGATGATCAATGATTCTTTCATCATTGATGTTTCTATCTCCCTCTCCCTTCCTCTCTCAAATAAAAAAAAAATTACACATTTTTAAAAAGAAAAGAAAAGTGCTTACAGATTCCTTTTCTTTCAGTAAAGCTTCCAATGTACAAAGTGTCCAGCAGTTCAGGGTTTGTGTCTCCATCTAAGGAAGACGATGAGCATAAGTCAGAGACCCTGACCCTAAGGATGCCCCCAGAACCAGTTGTCCCAACAGTGTCGTGGGGCCTGGGATGCGAGGGCCCCGCCGGGACAGGAACGCTGACCCACTCTCTGGGCCCCTCCAGGTGTGTGATGACTGCGTGGTGCTACGCAGTAACATCGGGACAGTGTACGAGCGCTGGTGGTACGAGAAGCTCATCAACATGACCTACTGCCCCAAGACCAAGGTGCTGTGCTTGTGGCGCAGAAACGGCTCAGAGACCCAGCTCAACAAGTTCTACACAAAGAAGGTACCCATGGGCTCTGTGGGTTGGGGGTGGGCGTTGAGGGCAAAGTGTTGAGTTTCTTGTATGGGAGTTAAAATTCCAAAATCTACGCCTGGAGCCCCACTTTTGCCTCTGGCTGTTGTGTGGGATTCGTGAAGCTGTCTTGAGGTCCGGGCAGCGGCCCAGGCCCTCAGCAGCCCCTGCGGAGTCGAGGGCGGGAGCCCTGGAGGGCTTGAGTGACACGGCTCTCTCCCGGTGCCGCAGTGTCGGGAGCTGTACTACTGTGTGAAGGACAGCATGGAGCGTGCCGCCGCCCGGCAGCAGAGCATCAAACCTGGTAAGGACAGAGCTCCCTGAGCGCGTGCCCCCGTGTATGTTCATCAGCCTTCGTTCGTGTCAGAGGCCTGGCAAGGAAGTCAGGCTATGGACTCCCTGTCCCCCAGTGAGCTGACCACCTGCTCCCTCACCGCAGGGCCTGAACTAGGTGGCGAGTTCCCCGTGCAGGACATGAAGACTGGTGAGGGTGGCTTGCTGCAGGTCACCCTAGAAGGGATCAATCTCAAGTTCATGCACAACCAGGTAGGTGCAGGTGGCAGCCCAAGGCTTCCTGGCCCTTGTTCCATCTGCATTAGGATCAGTGTCAGGGTCCCCAGGGCTTTCCCAGTGAGCGTGAGAGAGGGCCTCAGAGGCTAGTGGGAGAGCTGGAGCAGCTGGACCGGGGACAGATCAGAAAGGAGGGCATGAGACGCTGACGGCCCCTTGGAGGTGCAGCAGGGCGGTTCTGTGGGAGACCTGGGAAGAGAGGGCGCCTCGTCGTCAGACTCACGAGACAGCACAGTGTGAGTGGGAGCGTCTCACTTGGCCCTTCGCAGCGTCTGCCTTCCCTGTGCCCAGGGTACGCTTCTGCTTGGTGGTTTTGCTTTGAGAGTCTAGACCAGCTGATCTCGCTCATGTGTGTCTGGTGTGCGTAGTTTGTGTGTGAGTGTGTGAGTAGCTTGTCTCTATCCTGCTGGCGTATGTTTGCTTTTTCTCCTGCTGATTCTTCTTCCTACTCTTTTCTTCCCTCCAAGTGTCCGTTCTGCCCCTGCCTCACAGGCCCACCCCCTTCTTTTGACGGGGACACCTCAGGATCCGTCTCTCCCTCACTGTGATTCCACAGTAGGAGCTGACTTGCTTCTTTCTCCTGGTCCTTAACACAATGTTACTTTTTTTCTCTGTGGACATCCCTTAAGCTAATTCCTTTCTGAGGCCAGCACATCATCCCAGGTCCGTTCCCAGTTCTGACTCTTCACCAAGTGCCTCCCCTCCCCCTTCCCTGTTCCTCTCCTGAGGCTCAGAGACAGAACCGTGTGGGAGCCACAGCCTGGCCAGGCAGCAGATACCAGGAGGGGAACATCTAGAGTCCGTGCCTCCTCCCTCCACTTGCCGCGCTAGTTCTCCTTCAGGAGTCTAGCTGGGCAGGTTGGTGCAATGGCAGTGTTTTCCTTAGTATATTGGTTAGTGGTAACAGTAATATTGTCAGTGGTGCCCAAGTACTTGTCTGGACCCTGAAGGTGCTGACACTTCTTGGGGAGCAGGCTTCTTAACCACATTTTAGTGCTGTGGCCTCCACCAGTGCCTCACCTTCTGAAGACAGGATCTCAACACCCAGATGCCCTCACCGGGTCCCACCCTCGGTATATGGCCCCTTCGGACGGACCTAACGTCTAACTGTTACAAAGCACGTCTGAGCTGGTCTGGAGTTTAAGGCTTTGCCCCAGAAGAGAGAGATCCTACAGAGAGGGGGGATCAGAGCCTGACTGACAATGAGATAAGGGCCACAGAGCCGTCAGTTGGGGTTGAGGAGCCTGGGGCCCTCCAGGGGAGTGACACAGTTGGGGCAAACACATGGCAAAAGCATGGTCTTTGGAGTCAGGACTGACTTGGATTCGGAGCCCAACTTTGTTATTCACGGGCAAGTAAACTGTGTGACCCCCAGGGTCCTCCTCTGTGACGTGAGGGTGGACCTCTGTGCTGTGCCTCATAGATGGAAGGATTGCACGTAGCACTGGCAGAGCTCCCAGTAGGTGCTCATGAGTGGTAGCTGTTGTTGTCATCACCTCGTGCTTCTTGGGAGAGCCTGGATCCTGTTCCAAGGAAGATAGCAGCGCCTCACCCCGAGGACAGTCTGAGGGGAGCTTTGCGCCCGTGCCAGCCCTCTGCGCCGGAGGAGGATGCATGGAAGGGTAGAGAGCTGATGGGCTAAGTGGGGGGACCCCTGGGGCACAGTGTCCCACAAACGCTGCCCTGGACACAGGGTCCGGGCGGGCAGCCCAAGCCAGCAGAGGGGCCTTTGGGTGGGTTTGACCATTAAAACTAACGCCTTCATTTCTCTCCCATGCTTTCTCCTCCGGCCAGGAGCGGAAGGTACATGCCCTTTCTGCTATCTTCGCTTCTTAGCGCTTTTGAGTCGTGTGTGTATGTGTGTGTGTGTGCGTGTGTGTGTGTGCGTATGTGTGTGTGTGTGTTCTGTCCTCCCTTTGGGAACTAGGTTTTCTGTGTGGGGGTGGGGCTGTAGCGGTGAGAGGGGGCTTGTGGGCAGGGGAGCCTCTGGGCCTTACCCCCTCCTCCCTCTCTTTCAGGTTTTCATAGAGCTGAATCACATTAAAAAGTGCAATACAGTTCGAGGCGTCTTTGTCCTGGAGGAATTTGGTAATTACACTATTTTGCTCTTAGGTCTGGACTCACATGGCAGTAACTCAAACCTCGGAGCTCCAGAGGAGGCCTAGAGGCAGAGAACCTCTGCAGAGAGGCCTGGAGGGCAGGCGTGGTAGGGAAGAGAAGAGCCCCGAGAGGACAGAGGGGAGGAGGAAAAGACAGTGGCGGCTAGGGAGTGGGTCCCAGAGAGCACGTGGCCTTAGCCGGGTTAGCGTTTGGAGGTGGCACTGCAGGGGCTCCGTGCACTGGCACCAGGTTCCCTCAGTTGGCCAGCCAGTGGTCAGAAAGTTCTGGGGCAGAGCAGTCAGGCCATCCCCACGCCTGCTAGGTCACACCACCTGCTGCGAGCCTCCTAGTAGCCCAGGGTGCCATCCACGCACCCAGTGCCTCTCCGGCGTCTGCCCAGCCCCTGTGCTGGAAGAGGGGCAAGTGGCGGCCCAGGCAGACTCACTCTAGAAGGCAGAGAAGCCTAGTGGACCCCAGAGGCAGACGGGGCAGCTGGAGCTGGAAGCCAGGAGCCAGCCTCCCCCAGGCCGAGCGGACCTGTAGTGCAGGGGTTCTCACCCTGGGGCTTTGAGTTCCTGCTGTGTTTGTGCTTCATTCTTTTGTGCCCCTCATCGCTGCTATGAAAACCTTCGTTCTCCAGCAGGTAACGTGGCCCGGCTCTGCTGCCTCCCCCCAGGCTCCACCTGGGGCCCTGCGGTGGGTGGGGCGGGCTCCCTTCAACCAAGGCAGCTGCTCACATCGCCAGTCCGTCTTCTCTCCCCACCCTCTTCCTTCCCAGCCTCCCCCCACCCGTGCTGGCTCACTGGTTCTGAGGTTCTCCCCTGTGTACTCCCTCTCTTCTGCCAGAGAGAGATTTTGGGGGAATCTTCTGACTCAGGAGAGGACCTGCGCTTCTTGCTCCACCTTTGATGGGTTTATTCCCTGGTAACCCTGGGTCCCTGAATTCACCTCCCAGGGTCAGGAGGTGTGGCCAACTCTCATCCTACCTTTCTGGTCCCCAGGGGACGTCATGCCCGGCTTCTCCCAACTTCAGGGGCCATGATGATGGCTGCGCCTGTGCCTTACTCCTTCCCCTGGCCAAGCAGAACCCTGCATGGCTGTGGCAGGGGCGACTCCGAGTCTGGCATTTGGGGCTGTGGACGTGTGTACCTTGCCTGATGCCTCCCGTCACCTCCCTCCCGGGTGCTGTGCTCGCCTGCCTCTCCTGCTCGGTGTGTCTGCTCCAGAGCCCTCTGACGCTCTCCCTCACACAGGCGGGCCTGGCCTCTCCTGCCACTCAGGAAAGGAAACGTACACGTCTGGTGGGTTTAGTGTCAACACGCCTCATCCAGCCGCAGGACGCTCTGTGTCGGGGCTGGGAGTACAGGGGACTGTGCGTAACAGGACCCGAGTTTCGGCTGGTGACAGGGATGCAGCTCTCTTCTCCCAGCCCGACTGGGGGTCCTTCACCCTCCTGTGCTTCTCAGGGGCCCTGGACAGCAGCGGGGGCCAGGCTGGTGAAAGATTAACCCGCTGCCGTGCTGGGGCTCCCAGAGAAGTGGGTAGAGTCACAGCCACCAGCAAGGAGCCATGCAGACCTCAGGGCAGTGTCTGGGGACGTGTCCTCTCCTCCTGCAGGGGCTGGACAGACGCTGCAGCCCTAGGAGCGGCCCGGAGGGAAGGGCCCTGTGCCGGGCGCCGCCGCCTGGGGGAGCTCGGCACTACTCTTAGTTTTGAACTTTCTGTTTTGTTTCTTGCCCGTCCGGTTTTAGTTCCTGAAATTAAAGAAGTGGTGAGCCACAAGTACAAGACACCCATGGTGAGTGTGCCATCAACCCTGACGGGCCAGTCTGCACAGGGCTTCGGACAGAAGGGGGGCTCTGCGAGCACAGGGTGAGGGGTGATAGGAGTGATCTGAGAGGCGAATTTGGTCCGGATGCCAGAGGTTCAGCTGAGGCTGACACAGGTCTTCAGCCCTGGGGGAGAGACGCACATTGATCCCCTCTCCCACCGGCTGGTTCTGAGGCCTGGCTGAGGCCCGAGCCCAGGGCGAGGCGCGCGTTTCCCGCGTGGCAGAGCTCCGTGTGAAGAGGTGAGGTCTCAGGGGTATTGATCCGCCTGGTTTTCTCCCCGTCTAGGCCCACGAGATCTGCTACTCGGTGTTGTGTCTCTTCTCGTATGTGGCTGCGGTCCGCAGCAGTGAGGACGACCTCCGAACCCCACCCCGGCCCGTCTCCAGCTGATGGAGGGTGACGGCTGCCCCAGCCCAGGGGCGCCCTGGCCTCTTGCCTCTTGCTGTTCCCCAGTGCACGATGCTGCTAAGACCAGACGCTGATGACGCGCGTTCTCTGCAAGCCCCTCGCGTGGCTTAGGTGGTTCCCAGTTATGTGTCTGTTGGTGTGTCTTAGTGTGTTCATCACAGGGCTGAGCTAGTCTCTTCCGCCTTCTCCCTCTTCACTCCCAGAAGACCAGCCTACTGTTCCCTCAGGGCTCGGTGTGTGTGTGTGTGTGTGTGTGTGTGTGTGTGTGTGTGTGTGTCTGTTGGGCCAGTGGCTTCTAAGAACTCTTTGGCACAGGCCAGTGTGAGTCCATGCCTGCATGCCCTTGAGACATTTGTGCTGTGGCTCCGTGTCCTTGGCATTGTGACCTCCCAGCGCAGGACTCTGGCTCTTGTCCTCTGTGATCCAGCACAGCCGGGCGTCTGGAACAGCCCCCTCTGGGGAGTGAGGGAAGCTTGAGGCTTCCTGAGAGGGGTGGGCGGCGAGAGGAGGGAGAGGCCCGGGGCAGCAGAGTGAGTGGCAACCTCCCTGCTTCCTGACGCATTTCCTAAGCTGGCAGCTACCGCCCGCCCGCCCGTGGGCCACACACAGTCTTGCTGCTGTCACCATGGCCTCCACCACTCAGCGGAGCAGCTCTTCCCCTGGGGTCTGCCTGGCCTTAGGCAGAGGAGAGCAGACTGGTTGGGGCCTGGAGACTCCCAGGAACCGGAAGGGGTGGGCAAAGGCCAAGTTCGGTGTACACACCCGTGTCTGCAGGCAGCGTCTCCTGGCACCGGGTGCCAGGGAGTGGGCAAGAGATGACTGTACATATTTATTTCAGCTCCACATTATTTATAGAAAATGTACATACGTGTGAATGTGAAATAAATGTCCTTAACTCTCCGTGGGCTCCTGGCACTAAATGATGCTTCCTCTCACCTGGGCCTGAGGAAGGCTGGTCTGAGGAAGGCTGGCCTAGACTCTACAAAGGCACCTCTGGTCTGAAGGGAGCGGGGAGATGAGATCACGCCCATCTGAGCTCTGGCGCTGAAGCCCAGCCTCCCACCTGCGGGCCCTCCCTGGGCTCCCTGGGCTCCCTGGGCTCCCTGTGTCCTGTTGGGGCCCACAGAGGGCTGCTGTGCTCGGAATTGGCCACTAGAGGGGGCAGCCCAACTGGCTGACACCTGAGCAGAGATGAACTTGGCCGTGAAGGAAAAACCCGCACAGGGTCCCAGCTCTGGGTGCTCCTTCCAGGTGTGATCCCTAGTGCTGTCCCTCAGCCAGGACCTGGAGCTGCACACAGACACTGGGATGGGGCAGGAGTGTCGGGTTGGGTGGGACTCGGAGCAGGGAGTTGTTTTCTCTGCCATGGGAAACCTCCTCACACTCCCTGGCAGGAAGGACCCTCTACACCACACTGTCAGGGCGCCTCTGAGACCTGCTGGCTTCCTCCTTCCAAAGGGAAACGGATGGTCAGGTGTGGGCTCCCCGCCGTGGGATCCAGGTGTGCGTAGGCCATGGGCTTGTTGCCCACCGAGACCCCACAGCAGCCCCCAGGCCTTATGGGCACAGAACTGGCTGCTGTGACCGTGGCCACCAGAGCGAAGACAGTACTGAGCACGTGCGAGCAGGCAGGAGCCTGGTGTGCTGGCTCTGTGTTAAGGCACGTTCTCTATCACTGATCCGCCGTTTCCTCCTTTGAAGACCGTGCAGTGGGGGAAGACAGCTTCCTCCCAGGACTCATGTTTTCCGAGTTTAGGGCTCCGCTCTGGGCCTCATTTAACCGTCTGCCTTCAGTTTGCTCTGAAGACCAACTAAGTCTCCCTGTGCCTGTGTGAAACCCGTGGGACAGGACGAGCCAGGTCTGTGCTGCACTGATCTTTATTGCCCGTACCCCCCGGGAGAGCGTGGCAGGCCAGAAAGACGTCCGCAGCCATCATTTCCCGAGCTCACTCGCTCTTCGCCCCCACGATCTGAGAGCTTCAGCGGGAGCTGAAGGGTCAGTCTGCACAGTCCCCACGCCTGCTCGTCACCACTCTGCAGCCTGTGATGCTCCAGCCGGCCCGGTCACACCGCGCACACGTGTCCAGCAGCGGGAGGAGGCTTGTCCAGCTCCCCTCAGGCTCCTGGCACACAGCTGGCATCCGGTGGCACCTCTGACACAGATTCCCTTGTGAGTGAGCTGGACTAAGCCACCTGCACCCCATTTCCGATGGCTGTGGCCCTGCACCAAGGGCCCAGGCTGATTTGGGCCCGGGGCGGTTCCGAGCACATACCTGGCCGTCCCCGAGGAGGCAGCCTGGTCACTGAGGCACTGCAGAGGAGAAGGAGGCCGTGCTGTGGGCTGCACCTTCCGGCACCACGCGTCCTCCCAGAGGCTGGGAGCAGCGGGCGTGGCGACCACTGCTCCTCTAGGCAGAGCAGCTGGGGCCGGGATGGCCGTCCCAGCCAGCGCCCCGCCCGCTCTTCCACCCAGGCGGGCTCCTCACCTCGCACCTCCAGGCGGCACTCACACTGCGCCTCGCCCTGCAGGTTGGTGGCCCTGCAGACGTAGACACCCCCGTCGTAGGGGCAGGGCTTTCTGATCTCCAGGGTCAGCACGCCCTGCTTGCTGAACATGCGGAAGCGGGCGTCTCCTCCCAGGTCCAGGCCGTTCTTGAGCCAGGAGATCTTGGGCTGTAAATCGGACAGTGGGAAGGAGGGGGACTCAGGTGGAGAGGGCCTGGCAGGAATGGAGGGGGATCGGCGTTTGTGTTTCTACTCCGGGGGCTCCCACTGGAGTCCCAAACTACGCCCAAGGCTGGGAACGGAGAGCCGATGGGGAGCGCCAGGCCCCGCTCAGGGAGAGGCGGAGAGAAGGGGACAGCTCGAGGCCGGAGCTCTGCCGCCGGGGCCTGAGGTCCCTACCTTGGGGCTGCCTCGGACGGCACAGCAGAGAGTAGCATTGTAGCCGGCGATGACCGAGCGGTTCACCAGGGGGTGGGTGAAGCTTGGGGCCTCGGAGAAGTCCATGGCCTTGTAGTCGGGCGGCTCATATGTGATGCCTGGCGGTGACGGGGTTTGGTACCAAGAGGGCCGCACCCAGCCAGGCTCCCTCCCTGTGCCCACTGGCTGCCTGCCCCAGCGCCCCCGGGGGTGGGAGTGAGGGCCCAGCACCTGGTCTGGGGATGAAGACGGGCTCCTTGGTGGTGGCGGCTTTGTCACTGGGCCCCACCATGTTGTGGCTGAAGACCCGGAAGTAGTAGCCGTTGCCGATGATGAGCTCGGACACCACACAGTGGGTGCGGCGGTAATGCTCCAGGACCGTGAACCACTCCTGCGGTGCGGAGAAGGGGTCCCTGGGGCTGGGGGCTGGGGCAGGCCCTGCTTCCTACCAGGGGCCTCTCAGTACCCCTGGTGTCCGCACCCCAGCTGTGCAGGGAACCAGGTCACGGAGGGTGAGAGGCGGCCCATTCTCAGGGCAGGGGAGCGCAGCTGAGACCTGGGCCTGCCAGGCCCCAGGAGGGGTGCACGTGGGGGGGCAGGCTCACCATGGTCTTCTTGTCTGCTTTCTGCACCGTGTACCCCGAGATCTCGGTGTTGCCATCGTCTTGGGGTGGCTTCCACTCCAGAGCCACATTGAAGCCCCACGCCTCTGTCACCCGAATGTCCTGGGGAGGACTTGGCTTGTCTGCAGGAGACAGACCCAGTGGAACCCCACACCCTGCTCCAGGGCCTGTCACCCCGCCACCCGGGGCCTGGCAGCCCAGCTCGGGGACTGGCAGCCAACGGGCTAGCGGGAGGCCCCAGGGCCACGCACCAACGATCTGCAGGACCAGCGTCGCCTTGTCCTCCATGTTCTCGATGCGCAGCGTCACCTGGTAGGTGCCAGAGTGGGCGCGGCGAGCGGCCCGGATGAAGAGGATGGTGTCCGTGGGGCTGTTGCGGATGCTCACCTCCTCGCCCGCCAATGGCTGCCCCTCTTTGGTCCAGGTCACCTGAGGCCGGGGCTTGCCCTGTGGGGAGGGACAGCTCACCCCCAAGCCTGGCTCTCCCTGAGAGCCGGCCACCCCCAGCCCATGTGCCCGGGTGGGGTCTCAGGTGAGCCCCGAGGCACATCTGTCTGCGAGGCATGAGCAACACACAACAGGACAGAGAAGGGGCCAGCCCTACCTGGAAAGGAATGAGGAGGTTCACGGGCTCCCCGACCCTCCTCTGGATGGTCTGGCGTAGGTGCCTGGGCAGCTGGAGCCGTGGCCGCTCTGTGGGTGTGGAGTGGGCAGCTCAGTGAGAGCCACTCCCGGCCCAAGGCCTGGGGGGTGCCACAGCTCCATTCTCTCTTGAGGCAGGGCGCAGAGAGCTGCAGCTAAAAAAGCGCTGCTCCCTAGGCGTCCCCTCCTTCAGCTCCCCCTAACCCAGCCCCAAAGGGTTCACAAAGTTCCTGCTTCCCCCTGAGCCTCACCACACCGCTCAGGAGGCAGGGATCAGAGAGGGTGTGCAACTTGTTTGAGGTCACACAGGCCAGGGTGCAAATCTAGGCTCTTGGACCCTATTACCACCCAGTTTGCTGTCTCTTTCCACCCTGAGAACCAGTCCTTACACACGGTTGATCCTTTGTTAGGAAGGGAGGCCCAGATGGGTCAGCTTGACCCCAGGTGGCATCACTGCTCAGTCCTGAGCACAAGGACAAGATCTACCTGCGGGAGCCGAGACGGGGCAGAGGATGCGTAGAGACCTGCGCTTTCCCTGCCCCAGATGGGGGCTGACAGGGGAAACCAAGAGGACACTTTCCGCCCAGGTTTGCCCTGGGCCCGGGGCCTGGATGAAGGCTCCTGCCCCTCCAGTCCCTGCCCAGCAGGCAGCTCCTCCCCGAGGAGGGCCCGTCTGACCATCCCCACCTCCAGGGGCCCCAGGCCAGGTGTCAGTGGCAGGTTCTGTGACCAAAGGGGCACTCACGCAGGATCTCCTGCACCGTCACGGGCTCCTTGGTGGTGGCGGGGGCTCCAGGTCCGGCCACATTGTGTGCCCGCACCCGGAAGAGCAGCCGGGCCCCCGTGGGCAGGTCCTTCACCAGCATCGAGGTGCGCTCCGTCAGCCCCTGCAGGGCCGCCACCCACTCGGAGCCTGGGGGGGGGGGGGCGCAAAACCAGGGCAGTGTCAGCATCGACACCACCCTGCTGCCCGCCTCTGGGGGCTGTCCGGGGCTGCCGCTGCAGGGAGGGCCCCGCGGGTGGCAGGTGCCCGGCAGGGGGCTGTTCAGAGAAGGGCACAGGCTGCGGGCCCAGGCTGGGCGGGCGACACTCACCGCCCTCCTGGCAGTACTCCACACTGTAGCCATCCAGGCCTCCGGCTCCCTCGCGCTCCGGGGGCCTCCACTTGAGGGACACGGTGGTGTCGGAGATGTCCTCCACCGCCAGGTGGGTGGGCTCGCTGGGGGGGCCTGGGCAGAGGAAGGCAGAGCGGGGCCTGAGTCACCCGGGGCTTCCCCTTCGGCTGGCTTTCAAGCACTTTAAGAAACATTTCAGCTCCGTTAAAAGGCGTGTTGTTAGCCCTAACCGGTTTGGCTCAGTGGATAGAGCGTCGGCCTACGGACTCAAGGGTCCCAGGTTCGATTCCGGTCAAGGGCATGTACCTTGGTTGCGGGCACATCCCCAGTAGGGGGTGTACAGGAGGCAGCTAATCGATGTTTCTCTCTCATCGATGTTTCTATCTCTCTATCCCTCTCCCTTCCTCTCTGTAAAAAATCAATAAAATATATCTTTTAAAAAAAAGGCGTGTCGCTAGATAAGCTTAAAAACAAACAGGTACAAAAGAGCTCTAAGCAGGAAAAGGCACCCAAGACCTCAGAGAGCTTAGAAGGAGCCACTTCTGTCCGACAGCGAGAGTGCGGGGAGCTCGCCTGCAACACGGGCGTCTCCTCCCTGCGATGCGTGAGCTGACTCAGAGCCGAGCAAGCGGCAAGTCAGTCCTAACGAAGGAGGCCTGGACCCCTCTCCCCACAGGCACCCCCTTCCTGCCATCTCCCCAAGCTCGGCCCTCCCCCTGGGCTGGAGGGGCTGCCTCCCCTGCCTCAGACAGCTGCCCCCAAAGGTTCACACATCCCGGTAGGGACAGGGTTCCTGGAGAGCCTGCCACACCTTCCGTGTCTGCGCTACCCTTTCCGGCCCCCCGTTGTGCAGACGAGGGAACTGAGGCTCAGGCGGGCCTCCTGGGACGATGGAGCCGGCTCGGCAAACTCGATGTCCGACTCCTGGTCCAGGGCCCTTCCCACAGACAGACGTGCCTCGGGCCTCAGACACCCACTGCCCTCCCCTTGTTTCACCCGTGACAACCCTTGTTGGAGGGAGCAGAGGACAGGGGGCAGTTGCTGTTATTGAGCACCTGCTGTAGACCAGATGCTCTGCCGGCACTAACTCCTGTCGCCCTGACAACAGTTCTGTGAAGTCGGTGTCCTTACCCCCTTCTACCGAGGTGAAAGGTGAGCCTCGCGAAGATGAGACAAGGCTTAGGGTGGTGTGAGTCCCCGCTCCGGCCCCACCAGCTGGGGGACCTTGAGCAAGTCGCTTAACTTTTCGGAGCCTCACTCGTTTCAGCTGTGAGATGAGCGATTGCCCCCGATCTCAGATGACAGACCAGGGATGTGAATGCCCAGTGTGGTGGCCGCCCACACAGAGCAGCTGCTATCGAGCCCCTTGGCCGGGGACGGCATGAGGGCAGCGCCCGGCGGGGCAGGCTCACCAACGGGCATGAAGGGCTGGGAGGCAGGGCTGGGCCTGGACATGCCGATGGCGTTGACCGCGTAGACGCGCATCTCGTACACCACGCCCTCGATCATGCGCCGCGCCTCGTGCTGCAGGTCCCGCAGCAGGTCGAAGTTCAGCCGCATCCACCGGTAGCTCTTCTTCTTCTTGCGCTCCAGGATGTAGCCTGCCGAAGGGAAGCGGGGGCTGTGGTCGGGGGCCCAGGCACCCCCACCCCTGCCCTCGGGTCGGCCCTGGTGCCCTCCACTCACCCAGGATCGGCTGCCCGCCGTCGTAGGCGGGCGGCTCCCACTGCACCGTGCAGGAGTCCTCGCCCACGTTGCTGATCTTGGGGGCCGCAGGGGGATCCGGCACATCTGGGGGAGTTGGGGACCCACATCAGCCCTGCCCGGGCCCAGGGTCAATGTTGCTCATCCCCTTACCCCCCAACCACCCCAGAGCCAGAGCAACCCTCTGGAAGGCAGTTCTGGTCATGTTGCCGGCCTCGGACCACCCTTCATGGCTCCCGCTGCCCATGTTCACCCGTGTCCCCGTCCCCGTCCTCCCCAGGGACCTGCGAGCCCGACCTGCCACGTGTGCTCAGTGACTCAGTGAGTCGGTGGGTGGGCCCTCCCCGGCCGGCCTCACCGATGACCTTGACTGTCAGGTTGACCTGGTCCTCGCCCACGGGGTTCTTCACGGTGACGGTGTAGACACCCTCGTCTTCCTTCTCTGCCCCCTCGACGGTGAAGATGCTGCGGTCCTTGGTGGTCTCCACTCGGACCCGGCCCTCGGTCTCACACAGCAGCTGGGGAGGGGGACGTGGGCGGGGAGGGGCCACGTTGGACTCCAGAAGCTTATGCAGCCTCTGGGATGGCCAACAGCCCCGAGATGGGAAAGGAGCTCAGCACAGGGTCTGGGGGAGGCACAGCCTGAGTGGAGCCTGCGCCACGGGCAAGGGGTCGGGGCTCTTGCTTTGCCGGGGAACTCTAGGAAACCCCGTGTCCTCTCTGTGCCTCCGTTTCCTTGTCCGCTGAACGGGAATAACATGACCTCGCAGAGCCACTGTGAGGGTCCCTGCATGGCTGCTGGCAGAGGACCAGCAGCAGGAGGGCTTCCCGCGATGTGGAGGGTGAAACGTGGACAGACGTGTGTGGTGTGTGCGTGGAGACCCTGCCTGGGGCAGGAGCACCCTGACCAGATGTGGCACCTTCTTGGAGGCCTTGCCCAAGGGTGGGTACCGTGTGCAAACAAGCCCGGTCCTCCCTCCAGCCTCACTCACCTTCTTTTCAAACACCCACTCGTCACTGGCACCTGCATCCCCTGGGGCATCAGGCGCCGGCCCAGCTGGGACCTTTTTCCCCTGGGAACAGAGCAGAAGGGAAGGAGGGGGAAGGTGGCTGAGGCAGCCCCTGTTTCTCCTTTGCCCGCCTCCTCTGCTGCCCATCACCTAGCCAGCTGCATCTCGACACTCCCGGCCAGGGGCCACCGGAGGGCATGCACATGGGGGGAGCAGGTCCCGGCGCTCACTGGTCCCAAACACCCATTTCACAGATGGGAAGTGGAGGAGGGACCCACGACACCTGTGTCATGGTCTTCTGCCAGATCACAGTGGGAGCAGGGTCCCCGGAGATAGGGACGTCCAGGCGCAGCTTGTTCCCGGCCACAACCACGATGGTGTCCGGCTTGCGGCCAGGGCAGTCCAGGTGGATCTTGGGGGGCTCTGGGGTGGGGACACACACAGGTCAGAGACAGAGGGGACACCCGGAGGAGCACGTGTCCCTGCTGTTTTATTGCTGAGGCGTAATTCACACACAATGAGATGCCGAGATCTGAGCATACAGCTTGCAGAGTTTTGACAAATGTACACACTGGTGTAAGCACCACCCAATCAAGATCTAGAATATTCTATCACTCCAGGAAGTTCCGGGGAAGTTGTATTATCAGGATGCCTCCTGCAGCATTTCTTAAACTGTGCTGGGGGGCGGGGGGTGGAGGGGCAGGGACATCAATGTACTGCCAGAAAAACAAACAAACAGTTTAAGAAACCCTGGATTAAACAAAATTAAGCACATTTCTTAACTATGTAAGAGGGGGCATGGGGGCAGGTGTTCAGTATTCCCCAAAGTTACTTTACCACGGAACCCCTCTGAACGGAGTATCTTATATGAAGTGAACCCCATTTGGAAGGTACTACTCTAGAGCAGGGGCCCTCAAACTTTTTAAACAGGGGGCCAGTTCACTGTCCCTCAGACCGTTGGAGGGCCGGACTATAGTTTTTAAAAAAACTATGAACAAATTCCTATGCACACTGCACATATCTTATTTTGAAGTAAAAAAACAAATGTTTTCGGCGGGCCGCATGTGGCCTGCGGGCCGTAGTTTGAGGACTCCTGCTCTAGAGCACGCCTCAGCCTGGACTATTCTCCTGGTTAAAGTTTTATCTGAAAGTAGGAGAGACTCTTCTAAAAGCAGGAAAAGAAATAGTGAAACCTCACATCTGTGCTGCCATTTGATGGCTCACACACCATCTCCTCCCATCTTTCCCACCACCCTATGGAGGAGACAATATTAGGGTCCCCATTTTAGAGATGAGGAAACTGAGGCTGAGAATTATCGTTGGCCCATAGTCCTGAGCGGCAGAGCTGGGCTGGGTCTCAAGGTCCCTCTCCCAGATCTCTGTTCCTCTCTGTGAGTGGAGGGGAGACGTGGCGGGGGTGGGGGTGTGAGGAGGGCGCACACAGGGGCCCTGAGACTCACCCTGCCTGGGCACGAAGTCAATCTTGACCTCTGCAAGAGAAGGAAGAGGAGCTGGCACCAGGGCAAAGGCAGGGCCCAGCGACAGGGCCCCCCTGCCCCGCCCCCCCCTGGGGCGCAGCTCACCCATGAAGTGGAGCTTGGCGGACAGATTGCAGGCGAAGCCCTCAGGCACGAAGCTGTAGTCAGCCTCGTCCGCAGGCGTGACGTCATCGATGGTCAGTTTGTGGACCCTGCAGGGCAGCAGTGGCTCAGAGGGTCCCACTGGGCCACACACCCCTGGCCTCCCCGGACACCCCAGCCAGAGCTCCAGGGGGCCCTGGCCCCTCCTAGCTCACTGGGGTTCTGGTGTTTTAAGTGCTTTCTTTCTTTGTTTTTGACTTTTCCAGCGCCTCTCGTGTAGGCAGGGTAGAAGTGTCCCCTTGGCTGGGCCCTTGGGGACTGGACAGAGGCTGGTCTCATTAATCTCCATGACCTTGGGCCCAGCACGGGCCGGCCCAGATGCTCGGGGCATGAGTAAGAGAGTGGGAGAGAGTGAGGGCCCCCCGCCAGGCCTGGCCTCCCCGTGGCTCCTGCCCGTCACCACTGGGGAGGGGCTGGGCCCAGGGCGAAGCCCCTCTACCTCTCCCTGCTTCTCTCCGGCTCTGAGGGACTCCTCTGTGCTTCTGTCTCCCCACAGCTTCCTGTCTCTGTCTTTTCGTGTCTGCCTGTCTGCGTGTCTGTCTCTTTTTGTCCATCTCTGTCCACTTCTGTCTGTCTCCGTCTCTATCTCTTTCTCTGTCCCTCTGTCTGTTTCTTCCTGTCTCTGTGTGTCTCTCTGTCATCTCTGTCTCTCAGTCTGTCTCTGTCTCCCGGTGTGTCCGTCTGTCTCTCTGTCGTCTCTGTCCCAGCCTGTGCTGCCCATGGCCCGCACACTCACCGCCCGATGTGGGACACCTTTATCCGGCTGTCGGGCACCAGCTCCTTCCCGTTCTTCAGCCACACGCCCCGCACGTTCTCGTCCGACACCTCGCACTTGAACACGGCCTGGTCCTTGGCGCCCACCGTCAGGTCGGCGATGCTCTGATACACCTCCAGCTTCTTCTCTAGGGGGCAGGGCAGAGCCGGTGAGCCGGGGCGGGCGTGTGCGGGTGTGGACGGGAATCCCGTGGAGAGCACGTGGGCGTGTGAAAGCACGCGTGTGCGTGTGTGAGATGCGTGTGTGCACGTGAAGGGACCTCAAGTGTGTGTGCGTGGCACTAGCCAGGCCCACCGGACCCTCCCACTGCCCGCTGAGGTGGCAACCTCGGCCTCCCCCTTCCACAGGTGAGGAAGGTGAAGCCGGGGTGTCAAAGTGATTCCTGTCCTGGGCTGTGGGCCCGTGTGCTC